ATTATTCTACGGTAGGCCAAAACTACACAAACCCGACATCCCACTACATCTAGTTGAATCCCTCCCTGGAACCCCAACGTGCAACTTAACAAGTGGAATTTCAAAGATATTGAAACATTTGGTGGATTCATCCAACTATTCCATTAAGTCTCCCATACGGTTCTTGGATAAACTCAAGAAGATTCAAATTGACAGAGGCGAATTGATGATATCCTTCGATGTATTCACCCCAATCGAACAAACCCTAGCCAAAGAAACTCTCCTTGTTTGTCGCCAATGACGCAAATCTTCCAAAGTATTCGAAAAAACAGATTCAAAGTCTACTAGAACTCAGCGATTTACACTTAACAATGTACTTCCAGTTCAACAACGTAATCTACGAGCAAACGAAAGGAACACTAATGGGATCACAAAATTCAGGACTTATCTCAGAAGCCCTGATGCGAGACCAAAAGCATCGATTTTACCCAGTGATCAAACCAAAAATGTAGGTTCGCTATGTAGACGACACATTCGTCATCATTCAAAGGAACCAGCTGATAAACACTTACAGTCGGATCAACAACGTCTTTGGTGACAATAAATTCACAATGGAAAAGAAGTCAGATAACAAACTATCATTCCTGTATGTAGTAATCACCAGAACTGACCGGGAAAAACTGGAAACTCAAGAATTTATGTAGCCAACCCATCACAGATCTAACACTCAACTACAGAAGCAACAACCTAAGAACTCACAAAATCAACTGCGTACAAACTTTGTTCAAGGGAGAGAAGACACACTGTAGCACACAAGAAGCACAAAAAACAACGAAAAATATCTGATGAATATCTTCCAAAAGAACGATTATCCACGCAACTTCACCAAAAAATATCAACGAAAACAATCGACAGAAGCGAAATCACAGACAGGAACCAACAAATGGATCACCCTAACTACATATAAAACATCAGAAATTACAGTACGACTACTGAAACCATTTGAAATAGGTATAGCACACAAACAAACAGAATCACTTCAGTCGACCCTAACTAAACCAAAGGACAAAAAAAGAAAAATCATTTATCATCTACAAAATAAACAACTGCTCAGACTGTGAAAAACACTACGGAGGACAAAGTGGACATCCTCTTCAGCTTCGTTTGCGTGAACATCAGTTGGCAGTCAAACGCCATGACATTTTTTCTCTTACATCAGTACAAACGGATAACTATGGACAGACATTCGAAGGAACAATTTTGAAATACTGGATAGGGGGAGCATAAAGAACATCAGAAAGTTTTTAGAGGCTTGGCGATCAATAAACACATCGACACTGACCCTATTTATCAACCAATCAGAAAAATCATAGGCAAACATAGGGTAAAGTAACAGATGAAAAGGGGACAATGAAAATAAATGTGCAGATAACGACAGGTTTAAGATCAATAAAAACCAATCAACATCGAGGTTAACAGAACAAACTATGGGCCATAGGTGGAGAATTATGAATACTTCACGTCTATCTGAAGTTTATGCTCATGATGTTGTTCAGAAGAACAAGAAAAGCTCCACCAAAACATCCAGCCCAGAGAATGAAACTCCATCACTAACCCTGAATGCTTTTCAAGTACCTCAAGAAACACACTTCCATGGTGACGACAGTCAGGAAGAGATATCCGCCCTCACACCAATAACAGCACACGAGATCAACTTGGTCACAATCAAATCCTTTCTACACCTCTCCATAACTCTCTTATCCCTAAGACAAACCTCAAATTGCTAGATCGCCTCGTGCCGCCAATGTCAAGGATTCGAGTACACGAGACGTTATTCCTGGTATCCTGAAACCGCACTCTAAATTACATGTTGCTTCAGCATTAGCTTGCGTCAGCGCCTCAACTAGCGATAGGTAGTGAAGTGAGTCCATTGAGAGTAGAGGACATTCCTAGGCTACCAGTATCCGATCATAGGTGTCTTTGAAACATTGCCCGTGTATCCTGAGACCATAGAGTAAGAGCAATAAGGTGTTAGGAAAAAGTTATTAGTTAAGGATGGCAGATAAATTGATGAAGTAATGAGTGTTCATCAATTGAGATTATTGGAACATGAGTTATGTTAGCCCAACAAATGACTGTCTCGAGGAGCTATTTTCTCTGGTGTTGGAGTAGGCTGAAAGAAAACATAACACGGTGAATCATCCCTGTTTTAATTTTCAGAACATGTGAGGAGATAATGGTGACAAATTTGAACAAATGCATTTCAATTACGCAAGGTGTAATATGTGTCCTAATTTATGTTAGAATCCAACAATGTTTTGATGTAGTAACTTTAACTAAGTGCTAACTTTCTCATTTCTTGTAAAATCTTGAAGTTAGACCACCAAAAAAGCACATACAACTTAAGAGACTGTCCATCATACACTTATATATTAATCTAATCAGATAATATTACCTGTGAGGAAATAGAGTGATTATGAATCTTACTTTCAAATTTACTTTAAATTGGTAACCAGCCACCACTACTTAGTACGCTTAAAGAGTAGATAAAAGAAAGACAGACCAAAATGAAACTAAACATGATATTGCTCAGTAATGAAAGTGGTCAATAATAATAATAATATTACTATTATTATTATTAATAATAACGGTGATTACAGCACGTAATTCACTATTACAAAACAAAAACCATTTACCCACTAGTAAAGTATGTGCAAATATTCCACACATACAGAAAAGAAATTATTGTTGTTTGTATTAATTATGTACACATATTTATATAAATTCAATAATTGTGAATCGAAAAATGATAAATAAAGAGAGACAAGGAGACGAATATAGTCAACACAAACAAGTAGACACATCACATACCCAACAAGAGCTTATGTCAAATTTTACACATGGACTAAATAGACAAAAATGCATTTCTTCAATTAAGAAAAATCAGAAAAACAATGATAATAAACCGAAAGTAGAGTTGGGTCAACCTCTGTATCCGATTTTTGTCAAATAGATGAAATAAAGCCATAAGTAGTGTGAGTAGTAGTGAACAATTTTTGTATGTGACAACACGAAAATGTAACAAACATTTATCATTTATCAAATTTTACAAAGTATGAAAAGGGACAAAAATAGATGTAACCAAAAGTAGGTGGGAATGAATTGTCAGTCATTAGAATATTGAGGACTATAAACGAAGACGATATCAGTAGTAGGTATTTCATATTGTCTCCATGTGTGTAATTGCATGGGATCTATGAAAGGAAAAATAGATACATGTATATAACAACAACGATAAAGCATATTGATATATTTTTAAAGTAAATAAACGGAACAGTTATTAAAACAGATAGCCACTACACATCCAAATGTTGATCATAAGAAAGATTGGAACTCGGTGGTGGTAGGCCGGAAGGACATTTATGGCAGCGTTGATGGTAGAATCGATCATCTTCCAGTGTACTCCGTTTGTGGGGCTCCGAAAATGTTTCAGTGCTGATTCATCAAGTGGCATGAAAATGACCATTCAATCTTTTACAAAATGGGAAATGTCACAGATTTCAATACTTTTATAAGCAGTTACGTCACTATTATCTGTTTCCACACTGAGAAGTTCAATATCACCTCTGCAAGTTGTATTTCACGCACAGGTAACCTTTTCTGTCAAAATACATTGAGATACAAATGGTCAACCAAATTCTGACTATTGAAACTAACTATGCTGATACAATATACCAAAAACTTGCTCATCAAATATTCCAGTGGTATTACTCAAACTGTCAGCCAAGTGATTTCATTTAATCAGTGTCCTAATATCAAAAATGAATGGTATTTTCAGCTATAACCACACTGTTTTCATGAAGAGTTAGTTGAATTACCCGGTAGGTCAAACCGATCGGTATTGGACCATACTGTTCAGTGTCTAGAGGATAAAATGACTTGACACACACACACTCATAGCATACGATAACAAATACCCATAATGACAAATAAGATTATAAATTTAAAACAATTAGTCCCTTTTATAAATTTTGATAGAACAGTGAGAAGACGTAATTGATCTGAAAAATCTGATGTATTTGCGCTATACATTTCGAACAATCTGGTCACACACATATATATAAAAAGGTATTTATACTAATATCCTTTTATCAATTAGAATTATTTAAATATTCAAAGACCAAGATAAACATGGCATTTTTGAGTCTCATTAATTCAATGATCAAGCAATGTGTAACAACATTACACAATTTAATGGAAACGGTATCATTCATTTTTTTTTGTTCAATACTTTTGTTGTTATTTCATTCATTGCACATAGATAGAGCTTTTTTTTATATTTGAATTAACAACAATGAACAATTGGGGCGTATATGTGATAAGTACTAATGAAATTATTTTTCAGACTAACACACAAAATGTATCATGTTAAGAATGGAATGAATTTTTATTTTTTTTTTTTTAAAAAATAATCCAATTATGAAGTTACAATAAGTAGTCAATATGAGATGATTATTTACCAAACAATTTGTAAGTTTCCTATTACGTACATTAGTTTATGATTGAGTTGTTAAATGTTAACTTTTAAATAATAATAATAATAATAATAATAATAATAATAAAAACTTCATAGTTCGTTTTGTATATATGCGCAGGATATTTGTTTCTATAAACTATGAATAATTCATAATGGAATCAAGTTCACAACTTTGTTGACCTTTGAAAGTAAATCAAATAGGGTTTTATATGCATAACAAATAAAACATTCTTTTCCATTGATTACGTGTATATATAAATAGTTAAATATGAAAAATGTTTATATTACTATTGTTAGTATATATTTATATTTATATATATATATGTTTGTGTGTTATTATTATCAAGCAAAAATAGACAAAGTTTGGTAAATTTTCTAATTCATGAACATAATAACTTACTCAGTAGTAAACAGATTTAATCAAATTATTATTATTATTATTATTTGTTATTTACGAAACAATGCGCGTTTTTGTAAAAAATCTTTAGAGAATTGTGAAATACGCTTTGATCGTCCCAATGAAGTTTCAATAAACTCTACTATCTACAAAATAAAATAAAAAAAAAAAACATAAAGTTCATGATGAATGTTCACATGGAGATTCCGTTAATCTCCATGACAATTTTTCATTTAAACTATGATAGTCCAGTTAACTAACAGTTAACTTTGAGATGTGTTCCTGAAATTCTAAAAGGAAATCATGAGCTCAGTGGAGTTCGGATGAGTCTGGAATAAAACAACAACGATCAATGCTGTTGGATGATAGTTACATTAGATTGTAAGTTGACTGTATATAGAAAAGCGTGCCTTTGAACACCAGCCCAGTAATTCTAACAGTTGGGCGTTCATCATGAAACCTATAAGTCGTGAGTATCCATCGTCAAGAAGTTTCAGTGTACTCCAGTTGTCAGAGAAGATCAAACTCTGACAAATATTATTCATTTATCTATATAATAAAGCATTTTCTTCTATGAAAAAAATCCAAACTCATATAAATCAAACTGAAGTTAGTATCTGGATTCTCATTAGGGAGATATTGATTTCTACAAGCTATGCACTTTTTTATCCTTGAAGTAACTTGAAAGTAAACATCCTCGCGAAATTGAGCCACAGTCGAAGGATTACTGGAGACCGAGTACAAGATAATAGATTTGTTGTCAACGATGATAGAACTGATGGTAATTCCTTGCACTGGACTGATATAAATAATATCAGGACTCAAAGTGCGTTATGTTTGAGGTTTGATAAAATGTTAATTAGCTGAACAAACCGAAATTGTAAGGCGAAGTTCAAACCTGTGGCCGAAAGCTTGTAACTCATTTGCTTTAATCACTAAAGTAAATCAGTGTTCAGAAGAAAGTTGAGTGGAGGTTAATAGTCTTGTTTTGCCCCTTCAGCATTTCGTTCTCATTCCTTACTAATACTCAGTAACATATATAATTGCTAATACTTTATGAGCTCGTGACAAATATTTACAGCAACATGATTACCAATTCGTCCATCATCATCATCATCATCATCATCATCATCATCATCATCATCATCATCATCATCATCATCATCATCATCATCATCATCATCATCATCATCATCATCATCATCATCATCATCATCATCATCATCATCATCATCATCATCATCATCATCATCATCATCATCATCATCATCATCATCATCATCATCATCATCAACAGCAACGTAGAACTTTGCACGTAAATACAGCAGTTCAAGTTGCCGTACCACATTAGCACGGACGTATAATTGTCAATTCAAATTCCATAGTAGTAGAGGTAGTAAAAGTATTAGAAGTAATCGGAGAGATTAGGGTTTGAAGATGTTATTCAAGAAGTATAATTCAGTGAGGTAAATATAGAAAGAGAAAGATAGAGATGATGAGGAATTCAGAAGGTTAGAATCTCATAGAACACAAACAGTAAATACACCAGTGCCTTTGAAAACGGTTTTGAGCCATGTCACTCAGGGTCTCTAACCACCGATTATTATCATCTTGCGGATTCCAACCACCTACCAACATGACTCAATCCACTTATCAGTGACTTCATGGATTTCTGCCATGTTTTGGCTCGGCCGAACCTAGCTTTCGTCCAGCCTACCGTTACACTACAAAACATAGCTCGACGAGGCAGTCGGTGGTTAGGCATACGCAACACATGTCTTAACCACCTCAACTGATGAAGTTTCAATACTTCATCTATTGACTTGCCATCCTTACCTAGTACTCGTTTTCTAACGTCAGCATTGCTTACTATTGTCTGTTGGATCTGTAAATCAAAGTACGGAAAATCAAGCTTAGACTTGTGACTTCAGTAATCTATACTTGAATTTCTAAATAAAACTGGCAACTACTATACATGATATTATCGTTCAGTAAAGAAAACGGATAAGCACTTACTTCATCTGTAGCTTGTAGTTCACACAACAAATCCACTAACGTAGGCAAATCAACTCCAGATAAAGGAATGGAAGATAATTGAGATTCACACCAATGAGCAAGTTCTTCTTTAGCAGGAAATAAAGAAACTTCACGATTTTTCTAAATAAAAAATAGAATTATTTAAAGGACTGATAATTGATAAGTCAAAAAAAGTGGAAAGATCGTCAACATTTTCATTCATTGAAATATTAGATTGAAAAAAATTGCATTAGATATTGAAAAAAAAAAGAAAATATGATAACTGAAAATCATCATATGATCTACAAATAGGCAGTGATTAAATTGAAGAACACATATTGAAAGACAGGGTTAACACTGACCTATTTTTTATAAAAAAAAAACAACTATTTTCATGGGGTAGAAGTAAATTACGCTATAATATTGTATAATATCATTTATTTAAGAATCTAATCTATGAATGACATAGTGAGTGAGTGAAATTACCACCACCAATGAACATTTAATTGATATTAATAATACGAACTGGTTAATTTCGAATAGAAATGAGAATTGTTACTTTTCTTTACCAGTCTGTCTATGTGCAATTACGAAAAAAAAATTATAGTATTGTGGGGTGATGACTGAGTATCAATGATCAGTTGTTGATGATGTAAAACTCATTCATAATCAATAACTGAGAGAATAATCAATTGATACATTGATTTTGAGTAGGAGAAATCGGTTTATAAACAATTTAATTGCATTGATCATAGCAAAAAAAACATATAGAAATAAATCTGTCATAAATTAGAATGCATTAATAATCATGATAAATATAATGACAAAAAATTTAAATAAATACTCTAAATTCAATGGAAATTTTCATTTTTCACATTTTCTGACTGTTCAAGTTTAAATAAATAATCTAAGCAAAATTAACACATTATATAAATGGTATCTCAACCAAGAAGGAAGAATATATTTCATTCAATTCAAATTCAAATGTCAACAATATCACATTATTTTTGGACAAGTTAATACTGTGTAAAAATATTGGTGAATATGAACAATCTATGAAGAAAGTGTCGAGTTGAAAATTCGACTGTATCTGTGTATATATATATTTATATATATACATATATTTTGTGTTTTCAATTGTGTGACAAGTGAACAGAAGAAGCAATGAGTTAATTTGAATAAACTGTTTAAATTAAATCAATAATCCGGTATTCTATTCAATGGAGGATTAATTAGAGGAATTTAAAATTTATCTGAAATGTTTTAGCTAATTTGCCTTTCATTTTCATTGAAAACGGAGCTAACATTCAAGATACCCTTCATAAAAAGGCCGTGCGTGACCGGCCTCAAGCAGTTGTCCCTTGGGCTCTGCGGTCACGCTCCCAGGTCGTTCAGACCAACACTAATCTATCTTCCTTTTCAGGTTCCTCAAGAAACACACTTCCACGGTGTGGGCAGCCGGGAAGTGGCAACCGCCCTCATACCCGTAACAGCACACGAGACCAAATTGGTCAAAATCAAATCCTTCCTACACCCACTAGTACCTCTCTTATCTCCATGACTAACTCTTCTCACATTCATATATCACAGTGCATAGCTAATGCAAACGATGCGAGTTCGCGAAACGTCGTTCCTGGTCTCCTTAAAGCCCTCTCTAGACTATATGTTGGAGCATTTAATGTACAGACATTGTGTCAAATAGGGCAACAGGCATCATTAGCTAGGACTTTAGAATCACGTGCCATCGATGTATGCTGCGTCTCGGAAACGCGCATACAGGATCCGAGTAGCATCATTCACTTGACATCGCCATGTCAAGATAAAGCAACTCGATTTACCCTTCGTGTATCCGGTAGCCCTGATGCTGCTTCCAGGGGTCTCGCTGGTGTAGCTATAGTATTGAGTCGTAGGGCAGAAAATCTCTCCTTGACTGGATACCAGTAGATAGTCGCTTGTGCGCCGTCTGACTAAACGGGACAGTAAGGATTCGAAAGGATAGGGACACTCGCCGTTGCCTCTTCGTCGTATCTGCCTATGCCCCCACTGACTGCAGTCCAGACGATGTGAAAGATGAGTTTTACAGAACGCTTTCGGACCTCCTCCAAAAAGCTAGGCGCTCCGATATAGTATTAATGGCTGGTGACTTTAATGCTCAAGTAGGTAAACTAAGTGAGCAGGAGAAACCTAGGTGGATGTTATGGTATCGCGGCTCAAAGAACAGACAATGGTGACCGTCTGTTGCAAGTATGCTCAGACAACCGCCTATTCTTAGCAAACGCTAACTTTAGGCATAAGGAAAAGCGTCTGTTGACCTGGCGACCTCCATAGTCGTCTCAACGTTGGACTCAACTAGATCACATCGCCATCAGCCACCGATGGAGGGGTTCGATAGAGGACTGTCGCTCGTTTTGGTGCACATGCTTAGATTCAGATCATGCCTTAGTGCGAGCGCGTATTTGTTTGAGGCTTACTGGACGTAGGAAAGACACCGTGAGGAAGCCTCTTAGGGCTTTACTTGATGATAATCAAGCTAAGGAAATATTTCAGGAGGAACTAGAAAAACAGTTAGGCGACCATGTAGTAGGCGATTCCCATCCGGAGGTAGCTTGGAATGATATCAAAAAAGCTGTGGAAACAGCAGTGATATCTGCTAGCAAGGTAAACCATAAGGCTAGGATGAAGCCGTGGATTTCAGTCGCATCCACCGAACCGATGGATGCTCGAAAACGCATCCCACCTGACTCTGAGCATGATGAAGAGCGTAGTCAGCTTAGGCGCAGACTGATAAGAAGCCTACGTAACGACCGCGAACAGTGGTGGGTGGCGAAAGCAAAAGCTATGGAAAAGGCAGCGGCGATAGGCAACACTAGACAACTTTTCCGCCTTATTAAAGAAACCGGTATTAGGAACCCGAATGTGAGTGAGACTATATCGGAAAAGGATGGTCTTATTATCCATTCTCAATGGCTGTGAAACATGGCCGTTAAGAGTAGAAGATGTTCGTAGGTTACTAGTATTCGATCACAGATGTTTAAGAAGCATTGCTCGTATATCATGGGACAACCGAGTAAGCAATCCTGACGTTAGAAAACGAGTACTAGGTAAGGATGGCAAATCAATAGATGAAGTGGTGAAACTTCATCAGTTGAGGTGGTTAGGACATGTGTTACGAATGACGAAAGTGACCGATGGTTAGAGACCTTGAACAACATGTCTACAAATCGTTTAAAATGGCGCAAAAGCATCCATTCTTTGAGCTCTCTGATTTCCTAGTCTTCCGGAATCGTCAGCACCTCTACCTTTGTCTTTCTAACCTTAACTCACTGAATTATACTTCATGAATAATATCTTCGAACCCTTGTCTTCTTCATTACCATTAATAACTCTACTATCTTTATCACTATGGGATTTGATTTGACATTTGTGGCTCTGTGCTAATGTGGTATGGCAACATAAACTTATGTACATATGTACGAAGTTCTACGTTGCAACTGACTGACTGATCTTCTACTCTCACTGGCCATGTTTCACAAACACAAAGTAGGGCGGAACGGGTTGCTGCAGAGTACACTCGTTTTTATGGTTAGCAAAAGGATATCTCACCTACGCCATAAGTGACGTAAGTCGGCGAAAGACAATCGAGCCTTCTGTATCCGTGCTGAGATTTCGTCAGTCACCAGGCCAACAGCATTGATGAGACTCCTAAGATAAGTGACGCGGTCAACACGCTCAACTAATTCACTAACTATCCGTAGTTGTGATGCCGATGTAACCCAATCCTGAAGTAACACTTTGCATTTTGAGAGGGAGAACCGCACCTCAAACATGCCTGTTCTGTTGCTTATGGTAATCAGAAGACTGCATTTTATCCGCGTAATCAATCACGAAGCAGAATTGACATCGGCATATTCGAAGTCAAAAAGTGAATCTCCTTCTAAAGGTTCAATGCATGAAAAATCAGACGAGGATAATGTTAACTCTAAGAGCATGTCTATGACAAAGTTAAACAGGAATGGGGAGAGTGGACAGTCCTGACGGACACAACTTGAATTAAAGAATTTCGATGACAGTTCGCCGTAGGCTCTGACTCGACCAGGACTATTTGAGTAAAGAGCCTGTATAAATTTGATGTAACTCCGCCAGTAGAACCTTCGGGTCTACTGCCGGTCCCAAGCCCGGGTAAAGGAGGAAGGTTGGACATGGGGTTGGTGACCACATCCCAACTACAACTAACTTGCCAAAAAAGCGCTAACAAGAAAAAATAATCCAAACCATTTTAACTCTGTCCCGGGAGTTGGAAGAAGAATTATGACGTCTCGTGATGAAAGCCGAGTTCCCTCGGAAGTCACGGGGCCGATGCCTCTTCTGACAACCAGAGCAACCATTCTTTTAGGCACATGGAACGTTCGTACATTGTGGGAGAATGGAAGACTATTTCAAGTTGCGGCAGAAATGAAATCATACAACCTCGAGGTGCTCGGCATCAGTGAAACACATTGGACACAGGTAGGACAACTGAGACTAGCTTCAGGAGAACTGCTGTTATACTCTGGACATGAAGAGGAAAATGCTTCACATACACAAGGAGTTGCACTGATGCTGTCCAAACATGCACAAAAGGCACTAATGGGATGGGAATCTCATAGACATACAATCATAAAAACATCTTTCAAAACAAAGAAACAGGACATTACAATGAACGTCATCCAATGTTATGCACCTACCAATGACTACAATGACAACGTTAAAGATCAATTCTACGAAAGGCTGCAGTCAATCGTTGACAGATGCTCACCAAAGTATTTGACCATTCTGATGGGAGACCTAAATGCCAAGGTTGGCATGGACAACACTGGATATGAAGACATGATGGGACGACATGGATTGGGAGAAAGGAACGAAAACGGTGAGAGATTTGCAAACCTATGTGCCTTCAACAAACTGGTCATCGGTGGCACAATATTCCCGCACAAACGCATTCACAAAGCCACATGGATTTCACCGAACCACACTACTCAGAACCAAATTGACCTTATCTGTATCAACAAAAGGTTCAGAAGGACCATGGAGGATATGAGAACCAAGAGAGGAGCTGATATAGCCTCAGATCATCACTTGCTGGTCGCCGAAATGAAACTGAAACTAAAGAAGCACTGGACAACGGGGCAGACAACATCACACAATTTCAATACGGCCTTTCTTCGGGATACTGTAAAACTCAATGAATTCAAGATGGCACTCAACAGGCCTTGCAGGATATACTCAATGTCGATGAAAAAAACTTGGAGAACGATTGGAAAGGGATCAAGGAGGCAATCACTTCAACATGTCACGAAGTTCTGGGTCGCAGGAACTACCATCACAAGGACTGGATGTCTGTTGGTACTCTTGCAAAAATTGAAGAACGGAGGGACAAGAAGGCAGCAATCAATGTCAGCCGAACAAGAGCAGAGAAAGTTACCGCACAAGCTACATACACAGAAGCAAACAGGGAAGTGAAGAAGAGCATCAGAGCTGACAAACGAAAATATGTGGAAGATCTAGCAATGACGGCGGAAAAGGCTGCAAGAGACGGAAACTTGAGACAATTGTACGAAACAACAAAGAAGCTCGCCGGAAACTATCGTAAACCAGAACGACCAGTGAAAAGCAAAGAGGGCAAAGTAATCAGCAACACTGAAGAACAGCGAAATGGGTGGGTAGAGCAGTTTAAGGAACTATTGAATCGACCAGCTCCACTGAACACATCCAACATCGAAGCAGCATCCACGGACCTCCCAATTAATATTGGCGCTCCTACAATTGAGGAGATCAGTATGGCCATCAGACAAATCAAGAATGGCAAAGTAGCAGGACCAGACAACATTTCAGCAGAGGCAATGAGAGCAGATGTGGAAGCATCTGCAAATATATTTCACATTCTCTTCAAGAAGATCTGGGATGAGGAACAAGTACCATCAGATTGGAGAGAAGGATACCTGATCAAAATACCAAAGAAAGGCGATTTCAGAAAGTGTGGGAACTATAGAGGCATCACTCTTCTCTCAATAACAGGCAAAGTCTTCAACAGAGTATTGTTAAACAGAATGAAGGACTTCATAGACGCCCAACTTCGTGATCAACATGCCGGATTTCGTATGGATCGATCGTGTGCTGACCAAATTGCGGCATTACGGATCATTGTGGAACAATCAATTGAATGGAACTCACCACTCTACATCAACTTCATCGACTACGAGAAAGCATTCGATAGCGTGGATAGGAAAACACTGTGGAGGCTTCTTCGACACTACGGTGTGCCTGAGAAGATAGTTAACATCATACGGAACTCTTATGATGGATTCAACTGCAAAATCGTGCACGGAGGTCAGGTAACAGACCTTTTTCGAGGTGAAGACCGGTGTCAGGCAAGGTTGCTTACTCTCACCCTTTCTCTTTCTCCTGGTCATCGACTAGATTGTGAAGACGTCGACATCTGGAGGGAAGCACGGTATCAAATGCACAGCCAGGATGCAGATGGATGATCTGGACTTCGCAGATGACCTGACTCTTCTATCGCACACGCAACAACAAATGCAAGAGAAGACGACCAGTGTAGCAGCAGTCTCTGCAGCAGCAGGTCTCAACATACACAAAGGGAAAAGCAAAATTCTCTGATGCAACACAACCTGCACCAACCAAATCACTCTTGATGGTAATGCCTTGGAGGACGTTAACAACTTTACATATCTGGGCAGCATCATCGACGAGGAAGGTGGATCGGATGCAGATGTGAGGGCACGGATTGGCAAAGCAAGGACTGCATTTCTACAATTGGAGAACATCTGGAACTCCAAACAACTATCAACCAAAACCAAAATCAGGATTTCCAATACAAATGTGAAGACAGTTCTAGTGTATGGAGCGGAAACATGGAGAACTACGAAAGCCATCATCCACAAGATACAAGTGTTTATTAACAGTTGTCTACGCAAATCACTTCGTATTCGTTGGCCAGACACGATCAGCAACAACCTACTGTGGGAGAGAACAAACCAGATTGCAGTGGAGGAGGAAATCAGGAAGAAGCGGTGGAAGTGGACAGGACACACACTACGAAAAGCACCTAACTGCGTCACCATACAAGCCGTTACATTGAACCCTCAATGCAAAAGGAAAAGAGGAAGGCCAAAGAATACATTACGCCGAGAAATAGAGAAAGATATGATAGGAATGAACAAATATTGGACAGAACTGGAGAGAGAAGCCCAGGACAGAGTTGGTTGGAGTAAACTGGTGGACGGCCTATGCTCCATTGGGGGTAACAGGCGTAAGTAAGTAAGTAAGTAATAAAGTTAATGTACGTCTTTGTTACATCTTCCAGTGACAGATACTGTCATAAAACCTCATGATCAACAGAGTCATATGCTGCTTAAGATGGAGAAATAGCACGGTAGTGAGACGCCTGAACGAGTGTCTATGTCCAAGGACCTGACGTAATGTGAATATCTGGTCTGTGCAGCCACGTCCAGGTGTCAAACCAGCCTGATTTTCTCGAGTCTGCTCTTCACCAGCTGTAGTTAGGCGTCGGAGTATTATTGAGACCAATATTTTAGACACTATGTTAGTTAATCTGATCCCCTCGTGATTGTCAATAGGGGAATTTTCTCCTTTCTTATGGTCCACGACAATCAGTGGTTGAGATCAGTCAGATGGAATTACGTCCAGTTCCCAAATTCTACGTAGGATCTCAGTCAATCTAACTGTTGAAACTGGACCGCCATCCGTAAACATCTCAGGGGTCAATCTATCTGAGCCTGCTGCTCTGCCTCGCTTCAGATTTCCTATAGCCTTTTCAAGCTGATTAAGAGTTGGAGGACTTACATCTACCCGCCATTCAAGTTGACTGGAGATCGTGGGTGACCGAAGAGTGACTGAAGGCCAGTCGAACTGTACCCTATATTGTTCTGCCCATCGATCCGATCTCCTGGATTGGGAACGAATGATACGAGGATGTTTTTCCGAGATATTCTCACTCACAGTCGGATTCCTAGTACTAGTTTCCGTGATAAGTCTGAATAGTTGTCTACTGTTGCCTGTTGCTACTGCCTTTTCTATCTCTCTCGCATTCTGTACCTACTGTAGTGAATGAGAACACAGGTGGGGCAACCGAATTGTATTTAACGAAATTTACAGAGTTACTCAGTAAAATCGGAAAACCATATCGTAAATCGTTCATTTGCAAAAGATCAGTTCATCCTATGGAACTGGACTGTTTCTGTTGCCAAACATCAATCCATTGTCACTATTCATGCGTTTCATACAAATTCCATTGTTTTCTATTTCTTCCTTTCTTGATCTTCCCCCCATATTATGCTACCAGACTTTACGTTGACACTCACGTTATATACTGCTTATAAGTAGTTCGCACCACAGCACCACACCACCACTGATTGCAACCATCGCGTAGGCTTTTTATTAGCTTGCGCTTAAGCTGACTCTGCTCCAGATCGTAATTAGAGCAAGAAGGGATGAGTTTTGAAGCTGTCTAGCTCAGACAGCTGAACACACCAAAGACATTCATCTAGGCTGCAAATCTACATCATTATATATATATATATATATATATATATATATATATATTAACAACTTACTTTTTTCTTTTTTGAACTACTTTTTTTTCCAGTTGCATTGTTAGTATTCTCTAGATTATTTGTCACAGGTAGATCCCATATTGAAGGTGTTTTTGTTGTCGTTGTTATTGAATTATGAATGGTATTATTGACTTTTGGTGTACACAAGACAGATGTAGAAGGAGCAGCAGACGTTATGCTTGAATGAGATAAAACTAAATTATTACTTAGTTTGTTGTTGTTGTTGTTGATGTTGTTGTCGTTTTTCAATGGTGTTTTCGACGATGAATTGATTTTCAAATAGTCTAATTGCGTTAAAGATGAAGTATTATTACTATCTGATGAATGAACAATAAATTTCTGTATAGGATCATTATGATGATGATTATCACTAGACGATTTGACAACATTCTAAAGTAGAAGAAATGACAAACCATAACCGTTAAAGAATTGACACACCCGATTCCATGTATCAATAATCATTTAAACATAAAATTAATGAACGTATATATTCAGTGAAAAGTTAAGCAGAAAAAGTTAATTGATTATTATAAACAATATACAATGTAAAATGATCCCTGATAGTTAGGGTTCCATAGCTGATTATATTTCATCACTAAGATAATTCAAATCGAGTGTTAAACAAGTAAAGGTATAACTCTAGTGAGTGTAAGGAAAAGTTGCACTATAGAACAAAATACCTGGACTTAGTCAGATGTGAAAGGTGAAATAATAATGAGAAAAAGGACCTATGTTATGGCTTGTAATGCTGATGGATATCACATGTTATATTCCACAATCAGTATATTCAGACTATCGATTAATTCACTTATATCGTTAGTACGACCAGTGACCTAACATGTATCAACTCATATATTGATCTATAAACAATTTTCGGGGATGCTAGAACCCCAGAAATATTTTGGTAAACCACTTATTTTGTTATTTATTTTTGGAAATTTATTGTTACGCGCAAAATACTCCCCTTATGATCTTCAGTTTTTTTTCTACTTGCAAGGACCTTAAACATCATTGGTTATTTTCTATGAGCGTGACTATTTATAACTCTTTCAAGGATACTTTTTGTACTTTATAAACTGTGCTTGAATTAAATGCTCGTTATATAACGCATTTGAATCCTTATGAAACCAACTTCTAGTACTGATTATCGGTTTGTTTTAAGCTTGTGTTTGTGTTATTTCTGATTGTTGTTGATTGCTTCCTCTACCGAAAGTAAATGCATTTTATGTGCTTATGGAGTCATCGGCACACATTTTTTCTTGTTCTGTCCTTTTTTAGATAACCTCATACACTGCTTAACACACTTCCTAAGCACTTAAAGTACTTTCGGGCTAAACCCAAATTTACCAAAAGCTGCAGCGATACTCATCTTCTGCTCAAATGTGTAAAAGTACTAATCTCCATAACTCTAATTGAAAATATCGTAAAATGTGCTCATTAGTGACTAGCTTCGTGAGGAAATTCTCGGAGTTCTAGTGAGAAGATGTGACAAGTGGAGTTCAACCTTTTCGAGTGTAGGCGGTAACTACCGAAGACAAATAGGAGGGGTCAAGCTAAATCCCCAGATCAATCAGAGGTTAGACATTAACACACATGATGAAGTTTCAATACTTAATCTATTGACCTGCAATCATTACATAGCACCCATTTCCTAACAACAGCATCGCTTACTATGTTGTCCCATGATGCACGAGCAATGCATCGGAGACACCTATGATCGAAAACCAGTAATCTTCTACTCTCCCCGACCGAAGCTGCTACCTTGACGTGGTGGTCGGGCTTGTCTATCGTGATGACCCAAACGAGCTGTATTGGCTGAAACATATGTTCCTGAAGGTTCTACCATGCCAGGTTGGTCGATTGGAGAACGATGAGACTAAAAGCAGCTACTCAAGGTCTGAGGGCGAAGACGTACTGCTGACTTCAGAGGGGTGTGACAGCACTAAGGTGTTTCCCCCGGACAACCAGTATCTGCTGCGATGCTGCTTTCTGACAAGGAAGGGAGGGTTAGAAAAGGTCGACTCAAAACATGTCACACATCCCCTACCTCACGGATTTCCGGCTACGGCGGTAAGCGTGTCCACAAAGGGCTTTCAAGAGCGGAGCTAATACTCAAGATACCCTTCATAAAAAGGCCGTGCGTGACCGGCCTCAAGCAGTTGTCCCTTGGGCTCTGCGGTCACGCTCCCAGGTCGTTCAGACCAACACTAATCTATCTTCCTTTTCAGGTTCCTCAAGAAACACACTTCCACGGTGTGGGCAGCCGGGAAGTGGCAACCGCCCTCATACCCGTAACAGCACACGAGACCAAATTGGTCAAAATCAAATCCTTCCTACACCCACTAGTACCTCTCTTATCTCCATGACTAACTCTTCTCACATTCATATATCACAGTGCATAGCTAATGCAAACGATGCGAGTTCGCGAAACGTCGTTCCTGGTCTCCTTAAAGCCCTCTCTAGACTATATGTTGGAGCATTTAATGTACAGACATTGTGTCAAATAGGGCAACAGGCATCATTAGCTAGGACTTTAGAATCACGTGCCATCGATGTATGCTGCGTCTCGGAAACGCGCATACAGGATCCGAGTAGCATCATTCACTTGACATCGCCATGTCAAGATAAAGCAACTCGATTTACCCTTCGTGTATCCGGTAGCCCTGATGCTGCTTCCAGGGGTCTCGCTGGTGTAGCTATAGTATTGAGTCGTAGGGCAGAAAATCTCTCCTTGACTGGATACCAGTAGATAGTCGCTTGTGCGCCGTCTGACTAAACGGGACAGTAAGGATTCGAAAGGATAGGGACACTCGCCGTTGCCTCTTCGTCGTATCTGCCTATGCCCCCACTGACTGCAGTCCAGACGATGTGAAAGATGAGTTTTACAGAACGCTTTCGGACCTCCTCCAAAAAGCTAGGCGCTCCGATATAGTATTAATGGCTGGTGACTTTAATGCTCAAGTAGGTAAACTAAGTGAGCAGGAGAAACCTAGGTGGATGTTATGGTATCGCGGCTCAAAGAACAGACAATGGTGACCGTCTGTTGCAAGTATGCTCAGACAACCGCCTATTCTTAGCAAACGCTAACTTTAGGCATAAGGAAAAGCGTCTGTTGACCTGGCGACCTCCATAGTCGTCTCAACGTTGGACTCAACTAGATCACATCGCCATCAGCCACCGATGGAGGGGTTCGATAGAGGACTGTCGCTCGTTTTGGTGCACATGCTTAGATTCAGATCATGCCTTAGTGCGAGCGCGTATTTGTTTGAGGCTTACTGGACGTAGGAAAGACACCGTGAGGAAGCCTCTTAGGGCTTTACTTGATGATAATCAAGCTAAGGAAATATTTCAGGAGGAACTAGAAAAACAGTTAGGCGACCATGTAGTAGGCGATTCCCATCCGGAGGTAGCTTGGAATGATATCAAAAAAGCTGTGGAAACAGCAGTGATATCTGCTAGCAAGGTAAACCATAAGGCTAGGATGAAGCCGTGGATTTCAGTCGCATCCACCGAACCGATGGATGCTCGAAAACGCATCCCACCTGACTCTGAGCATGATGAAGAGCGTAGTCAGCTTAGGCGCAGACTGATAAGAAGCCTACGTAACGACCGCGAACAGTGGTGGGTGGCGAAAGCAAAAGCTATGGAAAAGGCAGCGGCGATAGGCAACACTAGACAACTTTTCCGCCTTATTAAAGAAACCGGTATTAGGAACCCGAATGTGAGTGAGACTATATCGGAAAAGGATGGTCTTATTATCCAATCTCAATGCATGAGACTGGACCGATGGGCAGAACACTTTAGGGACCAGTTCAACCTGTCTTCAGCCACAATTCGGTTGCCTACGATCTCGAGTCATCCTGAATGGCAAATCAATTTGCGTCCTTCCAGTCTACATGAAGTGCAGAAAGCTATAGGAAACCTAAAGCAAAGTAGAGCAGCAGGCTACGATAGATTGAACCCTGAGATGCTTACGGATGGCGGTCCAGTTTAGACAGTTAGATTGACCGAGATCCTACGTAAAATTTGGTAACTGAACATAATCCCATCTGACTGGTCTCAGTCGCTAATTGTCCCAATCTGCAAGAAAGGACAAAAGTCCTCTTGTGACAATCACGGAGGAGTAAGGCTAACTAATATAGTATTTAAAATATTGGCCTCAATAATACTTCGACGCTTAACGAAAGCTCGTGAAGAGCAGACTAGAAAAAACCAGCCTGGTTTCAGACCTGGACGTGGTTGTATAGACCACATTTTCACACTACGACAGGTCCTGGAACACAGACACACATTTAGGCGTCCTACAATAGTTGTTTTTCTGGACCTAAAAGCGGCATTTGACTCAGTGGATCGTGAGGTTCTGTGGCAGTGTCTGTCATTGAAAGGTGTACCAAAGAAGTACATTAACCTTATACAAGCTCTCTACTCGAACACTACTGGTCGAGTGAGAGCATATGTCGAACTGTCATCGGAATTCTCTACATCAAGTGGTGTCCGTCAGGCATGTCCACTCTCTCCATTCTTGTTTAATTTTATCATAGACATGCTCCTAGAAATAACCTTATCCTCGTCTGAATTTTCAGGAGTAGACCTTCTACCAGGAAAGTCGCTTACTGATCTAGAATATGCCGATGACACAGTTCTATTCGGTGAAGACGCTGACAAAATGCAGAGTCTTCCGACTACCATAAGCAACAATGCAAGCATGTTCGGGATGCGGTTCTCACCCTCGAAATGCAGAATGTTGCTTCAAGATTGGGTTGCATAGGCACCTGAATTAGTGATAGGGAGTGAGATAGTCGAGCGTGTTGATCACTTCACTTTTCTGGGGAGTCTCATCAGCTCTGATAGCCTGGTGACTGACGAAATCTCAGCACGGATACAGAAGGCTCGATTGGCTTTTCCCAACCTGCGTCACTTATGGCGTAGACGTGATATCCGTTCGCTAACCAAAGGACGGGTGTACTGTGCAGCAGTTCGCTACGTTCTCCTATATGGCTGTGAAACATGGCCAGTCAGAGTAGATGTTCGTAGGTTACTAGTATTCGATCACAGATGTTTAAGAAGCATTGCTCGTATATCGTGGGACAACCGAGTAAGCAATGCTGACGTTAGAAAACGAGTACTAGGTAAGGATGGCATAACAATAGATGAAGTAATGAAACTTCATCAGTTGAGGTGGTTAGGACATGTGTTACGAATGACTAACCACCGACTGCCTCGACGAGCTATGTTATGTGGTGTAGGAGTAGGTTGGGAGAAAGCTAGGGGCGGCCAAACCAAAACATGGCAGAAATCCTTGAAGTCACTGACTAGGGGACTGAGTCATGTTGGTAGATGTAGACTACCTGGTTGGGGTCCACGAGACGAAAGTCACCGATGGTTAGAGACCTTGAACGACATGTCTCCGAATCGTTTGCAATGGCGCAAGTGCATCTATACGTTGAGCTCTCTGAAATCCGAATCTTCCGGAATCGTCAGCAGACGAGGATAATGTTAACTCTAAAAGCATGTCCATGACAAAGTTAAGCAGGAATGGGGAGAGTGGACAGTCCTGACGGACACAATTTGAATTAAAGAATTTCGATGATAGTTCGCCGTAAGCTCTGACTCGACCGGTACTATTTGAGTAAAGAGCCTGTATAAAGTTAATGTACGTCTTTGTTACATCTTCCAGTGAAAGATACTGTCATGAAACCTGGGCAGCGCGCGATGTAACAGCTTGGTCAACTCGACTGCCAGCACCAGTGGGTCCCCATCCGCCGATAACTTCACCGTCCTGAACTTCAGAAGTGCCTCTCTTCGATCCACTGGGGTGTCAAACTCCGCGACAAGACGATCCGTGACCGCCTTCCATGTCCTCACCTTGCCATACAGGCTGTCATACACCGCCTTTGATCGGCCGCGGAGCATCAATCCCAAAGCCCGTCTTTTCCTGCTCCGTCACGGCCTCTAACTCCTTCGGCCACGGTATCTTCATCCTGGCAGCGACACCAAATGTAGTGAAGGAGTACACAGGTGAGGACAACCGAATTGTGTTTATCGAAAATTACAGAGTTAATTGGTAAAATAGGAAACCATATCGTAAGTCGTTGATTTGCAAAAGATCAATCCATTGTGTTCCCACTCTTCATTTCTTGATCTTCCCCCATCTTCTGCTGCCATACATTACGTTTTCACTTATAAGTAGCGCGCACCACAGTAGTAGTAGTAGTAGTGGTGATGCATGTGACAAGTCAATTTCAAATCAGTTGATAAAATGTAAATTATGATGAATCCTTGATAATAAATTTTGAATTTGTTTGCGGTAATGTTATTTATCATCAGTTATCATTTATATGTAGAGATAAACAAGCATCATCTAATTTTTTTCTTTTTGAAAATAGAATTATTGCAAATGTTTCTTTTTTTGGTTGCTGATATTTTTAATGTCAAATTAAAACTGTGAAAAGATTCTTTGTAAATATTATCAGCTATACTCAGCAAAAATCTCAATGCAAATGTGTTCTGTTCGAGTAGCAAACAATACAAACTGTAAACTAAGAGAAACCAGGAAAAAAGAAAAGGTACGATTTTTAACTTACATGCTTAGAACGCTCAGTTAGTTTATCATTATTTGATATACATGGATTTATAGCTGCTGAAGGTGTCCCATCAGATTTAGCAACTTGAGACCATGTGAGTGGAGTTTTACTTGATAAAGGAGCTGCCTCTGCTGCTATCAACACAGCAACTTGCTCAGACATCAATGCATCATGATATTTCCTTTTCACCTTAAAGACAAAAGAGAAATGTAGATGTGATGAAAAGTGCATTTATGACTAAATTAATAAATTTAAACAACTTCAGAATGTCATGACACTTAAGTCTCTATATATGCTCGTACGATAAATTAACAATGTATAGTCAAAAAGTGATGAATTTTCGGCAAGAGATGCATGCATCATTTACATGGTTTAGAAGATGTAGAAATGAATAAGTTGGTTTCGTAAACTTCAGATCAAAGTAGGCTTACTCTAAAAACTCATTCATACTGTACAGGTTAGTTATATAAACAAACGTGTTGAAAGAGATTGTAATTTATTGTATTGGTGGTGTTTGGTTCTCTGAGCTGGGTGTTTTGGTTGTGGAGTTTTCATTGTTCTTCTGAACAACATCATCAGCACAAACTTCAGATAGAGGTGACGCATTCGAATTTCTCCACCTTTGACCTGTAGCTTGTTCTGCTAACCTCGATCTTGATTGGTTGCTGTTGACCTTTAACCTGTCGTTGTTTACACCCCTGTTTTGATTGCTTCCCCCTTTTAATCTGTTTCTTGATCCTCTGTCACCTATGATTTTCCTGATTGGTTGATAAATTGGGTCAATGTCGATGTGTTTGTTGATTGCTGATTGGCCTGAGTGCCAAGCTTCTAAAAATTCCCTAGTGTTCTTTGTCCTCCCCTACCCAGTATTTCCACATTGTTCCAATCAAATGTGTCCATAATTTTCGGTATGTATTGATATAAGCGAAGCGTTGTCGTGGCGTTTGACTGCTAATTGATGTTCATGTAAACGGAGCTGAAGAGGCCGTCCACTTTGTCATTTTGTCCTTTGGTATACATAGGATTAATTGAAGTGATTCTGTTGGTTTGTGTGCTACACCTATTCAAAACGGTTTCAGTAGTCGTGCTGTATGCTCCGATATGTCTTTGATGTATGGTAGGATGATGTGTTTATTTGTTTCTGTGCTTGATTTCGCTTCTGATGATGGTTTCTGTTGATGTTTTTTGATGAAGTTACGTGGATAGCGGTTCTTTTGAAAGATAGTCACCAGGTGTTTTTCCTCGTTTTTTAGTGCTTCGTATGTGCTGCAGTGTGTCTTTGCTCTCTTAAACAAAGTTTGTATGCAGTTGATTTTGTGGGTTCTTGGGTTGTTGCTGTCGTAGTTGAGAATCACGTCTCTGTGGTTTGGTTTCCGAAATACTTGAGTTTCCAGTTTTCCTGAGTTATTTCAGGTGATTAGTACATCCAGGAATGATAGGCTGTTGTTTGATTCCTTTTCCATCGTTAATTTAATGTCATCGAAGACGTTGTTGATATGATTGTAGATGTTCTCCAGCCCGTTCTTTTTGATGATGACGAATGTGTCGTCTGCAAAGCGAACCCACATTTTTAGCTCGATTACTCGTAAAATCGACGCTTCTAGTCTCTGCATTACAGCTTCGGCAGAGGAGTCCTGATATTGGTGATCCCATTGGTGTTCCTTTTGTTTGTTCGTAGACTCTGTTGTTGAACTGAAAATACGTTGTTAAGCATAGATCGATGAGTTCAAGCAGACTTTGACTCTGAAGCTTTGTATATTTGTGCAGGTTTGTGTCGTTGATGAGGAGCAGGGAAAGAGTTTCCTTAGCTAAGCTTGGCTCTATTGATTTGAATAAGGCTGTTACGTCGAAGGATATCATCGTCTCGTCGTTGTCGATTTGAATCCCCTTGAGTTTATCCAGGAATTGTGTGGCAGATTTAATGGAGTAGTTGGATCCATCCACCAGATGCTTTAATATCCTTGAAATTTCTCTTGATAAGTTGTAGGTCGGGGTACCAGGGATGGATACAATAGGGCGTAGTGGAATGTTGGGTTTGTGGAGTTTCGGCCTACCGTGGAATTACTGGTCCATTGGATTTCATTCTCCATTAATCTTGTTTTGATATTTGTCCTGCTTTGACCAGCCTGTTTAGAGTCCTGGAGATTTGGTTGTCCAACTTTTTTATTGGGTTTGTGTCAATTGGTTTATATACGCTTCTGTCCTGAAGTAGTTCCTCGGCATTTTTGGTATATTCTTCCTTGTCCATAATTACTATCGTGCGTCCTTTGTCCGCTGGAACTATGACTATATCTTCCCTGGCTTTGAGTTTCTTTAGAGCTTTTCGTTGTTGTGATGTTAGTTGGTTGTTGTCTCTCTTCCGTCGAGTTAATAGTACAATGGTTTGCCACCACAAACTTCCACCTGAGCTACAAATATTCTCCACCTAAATTTATTGTATCAATATTTGTTTGGAATATGATAATGCATTCAGTGAATTAGGAAGCTATAGTATATTATTCTCAGTTAACCTTTCTGTTTCAATCATTAGAAATAAGAAAAGTAACAATGAATGCTTAATGTATGAACAACTAGTAAAAAAAGAATATAGATATTTAAGTACGCATCATATGGCCTGTTAAAGTAGTACACAAATTTGATTAATCAACTGTATATCTGAACCATGTACGAGAGAATATAGAGACATGTCAGGGATATGAAACAAAATAAGATACAATTGTGCAGGTATAATCATTCTGTATCTTTGTGTAAATTTTGGTCATTTCGCATTTCCCATCCGTTTCTTTGAACAGAATATTTATTGTGTTTAGCGTTTGATTCCATCATTGTATTTTGAACCATTTGATTTCTATCTTAAGCTAGATGGGACAGTTTAAGCGGATATACTTTGTTCATAACTGACGATGGAGTAAATTCTCCCATTCTTGATTTGTTGCTTAATAATAAAAATTTTATGATAAGAAACGAAAACGAAAGTTAGGCGGATAGTTCTATTCACATTTATTTCTTACGACTAAATGCAAAATTTAACGGAATTCCTCTTGGAATAAATTCAAAAGAAGTGAAACTATTGGCCAGTGAAAAGCGCCGTAGTTTCAAAATGTGAAAGTTGGTCACGAAGCTGCTACCACAGTTAACCTGTAAGGGGGTAGTGCCTGAGAAGATAGTCAACACCATACAGAATTATTATGATGGATTAAACTACAAAATCGTGCACGGAGAACAACTTCAACAAGGCGTTTCTGAACAGAATGAAAGATTTAATAGACACTGAGCTTCGAGATCAACAGGCTGGATTCCGTAAGGATCAATCGTGTACTGACCGAATAGCAACATTACGGATCAGTGTGGATTAATCAACTGAATGGAATTCATCATTGTACATCAACTTCCTAGACTACAAGAAAGCATTTGACAGAGTGGATAGGATGATACTATGGAGGTTCCTTCGACACTATGGCGTGCCTGAGAAGATAGTCAACAAAGCAAGGGCTGCATTTCTACAATTGGAGAACATCTGGAACTCCGAACAACTATCAACCAACACCAAAAGCAGAATTTCCAATACAAATGTGAAGATACTTCTGTTGTGTGGGGTAGAAACTTGGAGAACTACAAAAGCATTCATCCAGAGGATACAAGTATTTATTAGCAACTGTCCACGCAAAATATTTCGGATGCTTTGGTCAGACACCATTAGCAACAACTAACCGTGGGAGAGAACAAACCAGATTCCAGCTGAGGAGGAAATCATGAAGAAGCAGTGGAAGTGGATAGAAAACACATTATGAAAACCAACCAACTGGGTCACGAAACAAGCCCTCACTTGGAATCCTCAAGGTGAAAGGAAAAGAGGAAGACTAGAAAACAAACTACTCAGAGAAAGGGAGACAGACAAGAGAAGAATGAAATACTAGTGGGCAGAACTAGAAAGGAAGGTGTGAGATAGATTATTTTGGAGAGTGCTGGTCGTCGGCCTATGCTTTTCTAGGGGTAACAGGCTAAAGTGACTAAGTTTGAACGAGGACAGTTGTTTTAATTAGGTTACAGTAGAAATACCAAAAATGGTGTATGAATGAGAGCTGCAGTTCATGACTACTGCTCATATAAGTATATTGTTTAAAGGCAGAATGAAACCAATGAGATAACGATTGAAAGAATTATTGTTATAGATATAATGTAAAGAAAAAAGCACTCAACATACGTTAGATATTCGTTACAAGTTTAAGCTTTCAAGTCAGCTAATATTATGTGTTAGGTATTGTTTTGGCTTTAAAACGATATCTGAACAAAACACAAATTATAATAGTGTATCAGGTTAACTGTATGATGTAAAGTCGAATCTGGATTTCGTGCTTGACCAGATTAATATTGCAAACCTATTAGACTATGAGAATCATTGGTTTCAGAAAAGCGTTTTGTTCAACCAATAACAGATAGCTGATGATGAAATAGGGATGACTGAGTAAAGTAACAAGAATGTTTAACTGGGACAGTATAAACTACATTTACCGAACGACCTTGTTTATCCTGTTTAAACACGATAATTTAGGTTGAAAACAAGGTCTGAACAAAGAGTATCCACACATCTTGTTTAAACATTTTACGTATAAACTATTTATCACCTTGACCTTTCGTCATTGTCATATTGTCATATGATTCCTGTGTATCAGAAGACGGTAAGACCATAATTAAAACATTTGTCCTTCAGTGATCCACTAAGTGACCAATCAAAATGAAGTTAGGTGTTTCAACGTTTAACAAAACTATGTTCAACCTTTTTGAAAGGTTTTATTTCAAAATAAATCGACGGTAAAATCTTGTAGAGAACATAATGTAGTTAAAAATGCAACAAGATATTAGAGTGACTGTCATGATTTTGGAAAGAAAAGATGAATTATTATTTTCAGTCCCATCATTTTCGGGTTAGAAAATATATCAGAAAGATGCTTTTTTGAATAAACTTCAAAGGATCTCGACCGTAGTTGCTACCTAGACCTGATGGTCGCACATGCCTATCGTGATGACATGATGAAGCTACATTCGTTGGAACACATGTTTCTATAGGTTCTACCATGACAGATAAGTACATTTGAGAAAGGTAGGACTAGAAGCAGTAGCTCAATGAGGGCGAAGTTGTACTGCTAAATGTAGAGAGGGAAGACAGGTGTCTCACTCGGATAACCAGATTCTGGAAGAGGGGCTTCTTGAAGAGGAGATAGTACGGCAAAAGTTCCCAGTTGAAGGACCGTGCACTCACTATTTGAGCTCTGCGGTCACATGTCTAGGTCACTAAGGCCAACACTAAACTAGAATGCTTTTCAAGTACCTCAAGAAACACACTTCCATGGTAACGACAGTCAGGAAGAGACATCCGCCCTCACACCAGTAACAGCACACGAGATAAACTTCGTCACAATCAAATCCTTTCTACACCTCTCAATAACTCTCTTATACCTACGACAAATATCACATTGCTTTATCGCCTCGTGCTGCTAGTGCGGCGTAATTCCTGGTATACTGAAACCACACTCTAAACTACATGTTGCTTCAGGATTAGCTGGCGTCAGCGCCTCAACTAGAAATAGGTAGTGAAGTGAGTTGACCGCTTCATTTATCTTGGGAGTCTAATCAGTGCTGATGGCCTGGTGTATGACAAAATCACAGTAAGGATAAAAAAGGTATGATTGACTTTTGCCAACACAAAGAGTGGATGCACTTGCGCCATTGCAAACCATTTTGGGCCATGTCGTTCAAGGTCTCTAACCATCGGTGACTCGTCTCGCGGGCCCCAACCAGGTAGTCTACATCTACCAACATGACTCAGTCCCCTAGTCAGTGACTTCAAGGATTTCTGCCATGTTTTGGTTTGGCCGCCCCTAGCTTTCTCCCAACCTACTCCTACACCACATAACATAGCTCGTCGAGGCAGTCGGTGGTTAGTCATTCGTAACACATGTCCTAACCACCTCAACTGATGAAGTTTCAATGCTTCATCTATTGATTTGCCATCCTTACCTAGTACTCGTTTTCTAACGTCAGCATTGCTTACTCTGTTGTCCCATGATGCACGAGCAATGCTTCGAAGACATCTATGATTGAATACCAGTAACTTACGAACATCTACTCTGACTGGCCATGTTTCACAGCCATAAAGTAGGACGTGGCAAACTGCTGCGCAGTACACTCGTCCTATAGTCAGAAAACGGATATCTCGCTGACGCCATATGTAACGCAAGTTAACGAAAGCCAGTTGAGCCATCTTTATCCGTACTGAAATTTTGTGAGTCACCAGGCCATCAGCACTAATGAGACTTCTGAGATAAGTGAAGCGGTCTCAATTTTTCATATTTGTCGAAATTCGATACAGTATTGATTAATTGTATATTTGATGGTGTGTGGACGCTAACTCGCTAATTACATTTCTAACTTATTATAGCCTGACTTAGAATACTCTCTCATTCTTAAGGACACGGAGAGCTGGTTCACTCGCCTTCTCCGATTCGCGTCGTTTCGCTTCAACGCCTTCCTTCTCATGTTTATCTGCGTAAATGATTTAATGACATAAATTCATCCGCGAAACCGTATTTGGCCATTTTATTACCACTTTCGAACAAACAGGGTTACCATAATTATAACATACGGAAGTAGAAGCGAGGATTTATTTCATCATATACTCGATCATTCATTCACACTGGAGTTCAGTCACGAGCCGCTAAAGTGTATATACTCAAGTACTTCACTCCCTATCGCCAGTTCAAGTGCCGATGCAACCCACTCTTGAAGCGACATTTTGCATTTCGAGGGGGAGAACCGCATCCCGAATGTGCGTGCGTTGTTGCTTAGGGTAGTCAAAAGACTGCATTTTGTCAGAGTATTCAACATATAGAACTATGTCGTCGGCACATTCTGGGTCAATAAGCGAGCTTCCTGGTGTAAGGTCCACTCCTGTAGAGTCATACGATGATATTGTCAACTCTAAAAGCATATCTACGAGCTCGCGTTTAGCGTCCGAGTGTTATTGAGGCCAATATTTTCGATAATATATTAGTTAGATTTACTCCCCTATAATGGTCACAAGAGGACTTTTGTCCTTTCTTATAAATTGGGACAATCAGTCATTGAGACCAGTCAGATGAGATTACGTCCCGTTCCCAGAGTCTACCTAAGATCTCAGTCAACCTAGCTGCTAAAACTGGACCACCATCTTTAAAAACTCTGGGGTCAATCTATCAGAACCCGCTGATCTCCCTTGCTTCAGATTTCTTATCGGCTTCTCAACTTCGAAAGAGTCGGACAACTTACATCCATTTGCCAGTGAGGATGACTGGTGATCATGGGCAGCCGAAGTGTGGCTGAAGGCCAGTCGAACTGATCCCTCAAGTGTTCTGCCCATAGATCCAATCGCCTACGTTTAGAATGAATAACAAGACCACCCTTTTCGCTCTCTTTTTCTAGTTGCACCTGAAATATATTTTTAGCTATTGTATCATGAAGTACAACACAAAGAGGTCTCCTTGAGATATTTTCCTACGTCCAGTAAGACACAAACAAATACGCGCTCCCACTACGGCATGATTTGAATCTAAATATGTGTCCCAGAACGAGCGGCAGTCCTCTATCGAAACCCTCCATCGGCTGATGTCAATATGATCTAGTTGCGTCCAACGTTGAGACGACATCGGGGATCGACATGTCAAGAGATGCTTTTCCTTATGCCTAAAGTTAGTGTTTGCTAGAAATCGGCGGTTATCTGAGCATAGTTGCAACAGGCGGTCTCCATTGTCTGTTCTCTCAGTCACTACACCATAACATCCACCTAGGTGTCTTTCATTTTCGCTCAGTCTACCTACTTGAGCAGCAAAGTCACCACCCATTATTACTATATCAGAGCGCCTAGCTTTTTGGAGGAGGCCCGAGAGCTTTCTGTAAAACTCATCTTTCACCTGGTCTGAACTGCAGTCGGTGGGGGCATAGGCAGATACGATGAAGAGGCAACGGCGAGTGTCCCTATCTTTACGAGTCCTTACTGTCCCGTTTAGTCGGACAGCGCACAAGCGACTATCTATCGGGATCCAGTCTAGGAGAGATTGTTCTGCCATAGGACACAATGGTTTACCTACGCCAGCGAGGCCCCGGGAAGCGGCATCAGGGCTACCAGATACACGAAGAGTAAATCGGGCAGCTTCTTTATTTTGACATGGTGAAACCAAATTAATGATTTAACTAGGATCCTGTGTGCGCGTCTCCGAGACGCAGCATACATTGATGGCGCGAGATTCTAAAGTTCTAGCTAAGGAAGCCTGTTGCCCTATTTGACACAATGTCCGTACATTAAAAGCTCCAACATAGAGTCTAGAACGGGGTTTCAAAAGACCAGGAATAACTTTTCGCGAACCCGCATCGTTTGCATTAGCGGTGAAGCGTGATAAAGGAATGTGAGTAGAGTTAATCGTGAAGATTAGAGAGATGTTAAGGGGTGTAGAAAGGATTTATTTGTGACCGATTCGGTCTCTGCTGCTGTTACGGGTATGAGGGCGGTTGCCACTTCACGGCTGCTCACACCGTGGAAGGTTGTTTCTTGAGGAACCTGAAAAGAAAGGTAGATTAGTGTTGGTCTTAACGACCTTGGAGCGTGACCGCAGAGCCCAAGGGACAACTGCTTGAGGCCGGTCACGCACGGCCTTTTTATGAAGGGATTTTTGAGTATTAGCTCTACTCTTTTTAAAAGCCCTTACAGCAGGAGACGAAAATCCTGGATGTATGGTGAGGTGTGACATTTTTACGGTTGATATTTTCTAACCCCTTTCTTCCTTGTGAAAAGGCAGCATCGCTACCGATGCTGGTTGTCGGAGGGAAACACCTTGCTCATGTCACACCTTTCTACAGTCAGCAGTACGACATCGCGCTCAGAAATTGAGTTGCCGCTTTCAGTTTCAACTTTCTACAGTTGACGTGTCTGGCATGGTAGAACTTATGGTGTAGGTGAGATATCATTTCAATAAGCAACGGACGAGTATACCTCGAAGAGGTTCGCTTCGTCTTACCGTGATGATGGCCAAGTGACTATGACAAAATTCCAGTACGGATAAAGATGGCTCAACTTTAAAAATGATTACTGAGATTAATGCAACCCTCAAAGTAATTAGTTAACATACAGATTCCCTTGATAGTCTAGTACCAAATAGTATAACAAATTGACTCACCTACCAAGTACCTGGATATTAGTCACTAGTGATAAAACGAAATAGGTGGCGCAGGGTTCGAAACTAGAACTCAGAGGTTGAAAGTAGAACGCCTTGAGCACTATAAGCCGAATACGAAAATTGTTATACGTTAAACCAGATGCAGTATTATGGATTTTGTAACAAAAGTCGTTAAAATACGTTATGTCTAAACGTTTATGCATGTGGTTAACTTTTTCTAAACGAAAATGAAATGAAGGTCATATAAATAACCAAATACTTACCTCTTCAGCAGCTTGAGAAGCTTGAATAGATTTCAAATCTATAGGACCAGTTTTTACTGCGATTTTTGTATTATTAGTAGCAGTCGCTGCCCAACGTGCAGATTCAGGCAACTTTAAAAGAGCCAATTCACTATCTACTTTCAGACGTGATATCTCACGTTTACGTTGTTCAACAAGAGTTCGATTTTTCTCTTGTACAGCTAAAGCTCTTTCTGCAGCTATAGCAGCTGCTTCTTCTTCAGCCAATTTTTTAAATCTTGCTTCTTCAGCCAATGACTGCTCTAATGCAACAGCTTTACGTCGGTTGAACTCTGTCTCCCAAGCTAATTGACGTATTTCGTCTGATGCTAACCTATAAACATATGAGTAAATATGATATTATTTAACTCTGGCAGTTTGTTTTCCTCGGTATAAAAAATATTGGCAAAGTAACTCAATAATTAAAAGTGATTAGAAGTATCTCCATGGAAACCCTGGTTCTAGGCTACATATTAATTGACGCTCGTCATCAAGTAGTAACTGGAACCTTGAGAGAAATAATGATTCCTTAGGAAGTCGATTCCTTTCCCAAGACATAATGGCTGAACTATCTGGATCGCGACTAATCTCCCGTAGGACGGAGATACAATCGACTGATCAATGAAGGTGTGACTAGTACTATGATTGTTTATCTATTTTACGCTGACTAAATTCTATCGATAAGGTTTTAAAGGATAGGCAATGTGGAGGAAGACACAGAATAACGAACAAATAGCTGAAAACTCTAAAAGAATGATTCGATTAAACGTGTATCTTATTTCATGTGTGAAGGTTTAAAAACTGACTGTATAGATTTGTTGCACATTGTCGAGAATACATCATAAAATCGACTTTAACTATCAACATTCTTTCTACTGGCAAATCTCATAGCATGGCGTTTATAGAATAATAAATTTTACTAACTAAGAAATATCAACTTATTTATTAGGTACTTGAATCTGAGTTTCAGTCCAATAGTGAAGTCTAGAGCGTTATACTATTCTCAGTTATCCAAATCGAAGTAGATGGAACAGGGTTTGAACCTCTGACGAATGCCTAAACCAGTGAACCACAACTACATCGGGGATAAACAAATGAAATCATTTAATGCTATTTTTAACAATCATCCTTACTTTTTGTGAGTTTTCTTATTTTTACGTCTAGATTTCTTTGTAGTTGTTGTTATTGTTTTCTGTTCATGATTAACATTGTTCGAAGTCAACGGTAAAGCAATTTCACACTCTGAAATTGGTTCTTCTATAGATTGAATCTTTTTATTATCAACATTGTTTAGATCATCATATGCATCATTATTAGTATGCTGACTATGATTACATTCTTGATTGATTATTGTTAAGTCTAAGAGAGGCTCATTATCATTGACATCTGAGTAGTCATTTGTATTTAATTTTTCATCCATAGAAATTTGTTGTTTATCGATTGAATGAATTTCATGTTGGTGCATATTATTAAGTGCTGTTGGAGTAGTAGATAATGTTTCGGCAAGTTTTATTCCTGAAAATGATAATGTTGGTGGTAATTTTGTTGATGAAACAACAATTGTGCTGTTACTATTACTATGATCATCGAGAATAGGTGTAGTGGCGTCATCATTATCATTACTTCTGTCAGTTGTTGTTTTAGGCGTGATGGCGGCAGTATTTTCATTATCGATTAGACTAGAATTATTAATATTACCACTACTACTATTACATGGCTCTAGTATACGTGCTAATTCAATTTGTACAGCATTTGTTGTTCGAATTAATGATTCAGTTAGTGTAGAACTTAACTGTGTCGGACGTAGATTCGATAATAATTTAGCTGTAGTACTATTGATTTCAGCTAATTTATTTGCTAAAGCTAAACGTTCTGCTTCAATTTTAGACGTATGTAATGCAACGTTTTGAGCTTCATTGTACAAATCCAATAACGCCTTTTCATTGATTCCAGTAAATGAAGATGGATTATCGATTGTTTGTGATTCTGAATTATCAATTAAGGAAGACGATAATTTGCTTGATATATGCGGTGTTATTGAGTGTTTATCGATTGTTACCTGAGTTTTATCACCATCAATGGCATTGATGTCTCGTCTATTTTGAAGCTAAAAATTAAAATCATGAGAAATCATAGTGAATTCCATTTAAACAATAAACTAAGGTATATTTGTCTAATCATGAACAAAGCTTATAAATAATGCGAAGATTTTCACCAAAATTTATGATAACAGTTGATATTTCGATGGACATCATAAGATCTTCATTGTGATTGAAATATCTATTTACGAACTAAAGTAGAAACGATCACATAATATACAGTAACTCAACTTGGGATTGCCAAATCAAAATGTGGCATCAGTCTTTGAAGTCATTGACTGCCATATTAAACTGTATGGGTAACACATTCATAATAACTGATTGTATACGTTGATTTAAAAAAAGCTGAAATCGGTCACAATGACAAAAATGTATCCACTGCCTTGAAATACGCAATATTTCGCAAATTCATTATTTTTCTTCACGAATTCAATTGCGTATGTTTAATCGTTTCAACTACCAATGAGAATGTTACTATTCCCACTACTCTGACACTCCCTAATAATTAAAACTTACAATGTTGATATCATATTGCAACTTGAGCGGATGCGTATATGATGATAATAATTATTGCTTCATTCAATTTTATGTTTAATGAGATATGGAATACTCAGCACAGAATATTCTGATAAACTTCCTTTACAAAACAATTAGTGATCAGAAGTTGGAAGCAAACAGCTCAGGGATTGACATATTACTAACACTCATTCTTTTCTCAGCAGACTGCCCCATCAAGTTGTTACGAATTGTGTTTTTATGTACCGTTTGAAACGATAGCTCACAAAATACTTCTCGAATTATATCTTCGATCCCAATTTTTCCCATTACTGTTAATACGGTTACTACATAGTACACTGAGATTTGAGCTGACCATTCAATTTTTCTGTGCTAATGTGGTATGGTGACTTGAACTGATGTATGTACGTACCAAGTTCTACGTTGTAGCTGACTGACTCAATAAACAATATTCTATCCAGTGTGTACCAAATACGAATCACATGTGATTCACTTATCTCGATCATGGAAAGTTAACCGACAAGATTTACTTTCGCAGAACTCAATGGTAGTTTAACGATCCTATGAATTCGAGAACATGAGTTGATAACTGGAGGCTAATTGAAAGAAACCTCTTGATGCTTCAATCATTAGGATTGAGTGTGGATCAAGGAAATGTGTTCTTGTGATGGATAGTTTCACTAACAGATAACTTTTTAAAATTGATTTTCCTCATGCAGTTCATAATTGTCTTATATAATTGTTGTTTTTCATTTTATTTCATTTCATTATCTACTATAGCGGTTCATGAACATTTTGCACATACATATTTTCATATTTTATTTCGCTGATTTTGAGAAGGTAAATGTTGTTGACACGTAACCCCCCTCCACCTCCCGTAAGGTGTGCATGAAGTTGAATGCCACAAGTAAATGGATGTTCAATCAAATCTAAGTAAGCTCTCTAAAACAATATAGATTCATCATTCATGAACATAGTGACAGGTGAAATTAGCTTTATTATTTACTCAATACGAAAAGATTGTTCTTCTTTCATTAAATCTCAATAGCATAACCATCATAGGATAATTAATGATCGAATTACCTTTAAATAAAAAACACTATAAAATAGCATGGACAGGTGTGTATACCTTAGGAAAAAGCAAAAATTCACATAAAAATTTATGTTACACGAATTGTCCATGACAATGTGTCGTTGGTTCAGTAGAATTAGGAAAATATTGGTTGCAATAGAATATGGTATCAATTCATTAAGTTGTTAACTGTCAGCTTAATTTGTTGTATGGTGTTGTTGAACTTTGAGGTTCCCTATCTTGGAGATGATGATATGACTGAAAATGATTGTTATTTGATATTTTAAACATAAATACTATTCTAGAATAATTGGTTACTTCAAATGATATTAGTGATGAACGGTCGATATCTTTAGGAAATAATAATAATAATAATAATAATAATAATAATAATAATAATAATAGTAATAATAATAACGAACTAACTAAATTCACCATATTACTGTCGCAGTATTTACCTGTGTTGGATCTCCACTAAATGTTGTTAGTGTGGATTGTGGAAGTAAAGTAATGCAATCTGTATTATCGTTTGTAATACCTGGTGGAGTTGAGGAGGATATTTGGGTGGCAACAATAGTTGAATGAGTTGATATTTGACTACTATTATTAATACTATATTGTAATGCAGAAAGTGTTGACAGATTTACATTTGTAATAGGCGGCTGATTGTAACCAGTCCAAAATGGAATGCGTCCAGCTAAATTCATATGATCAGCTTTTATGAAAAACAAAAGAAATAATGCAACAAAACTATAGAGAAGCATGAAACTATGCGAAAATACAATGCATACAGAGAAGATGAACAAACCAATATAGAATACGTGTTGACAATACATATAATATGAGCGAGAGTTATCCATATTGATATGTATATAAACGCACAAATTTAGAAAGTAACAAAGAGAGAAAATTTAAGAAGACAATAGATAAGAATTTATTTCCTATCTAAATGTCCTACATACAAATGGAATCATCTTGATACTCTCATTGATATACAAATTTATCTAGCATTGACTAATAGTTACATTTAAATAACTCATAGAAGCGAACAACATTGTTTTCAATTAGATCGTCATCAGGCTTTAGTCTAATATACATGAGTGTTTTTTCGAAAATGTTTAACCAATCAAGGCAATTTGAGTCATAATCACAATGAAATGAAAAAGATTAGGTCACTACATATAACAGGCAAAAGTACAAGTGGATAGTAGGAAGACAGGTGTACTGACTGATAGTAGTTAGAAAATGATAAAATATGATAACTAAAGTTTTATCAATAGTAGGTCAAGGGCGGATGTATAGACTTCAAATAATCATTAAAAAACATCAAAACCATTACGTAATAAGCAAATGTGTAAAAATAATTAGATAGTGAAGGATATAAACGGAAAGAGGCAGAGAATTACCAACAAATACAGGATGTGAAAATAATGCTAATAATAACAAAATAACATGAAAAAAAAATTGAACCAAAAAAAATTATGTCGATCGTTAGTTACGTCATATCCGGCCACGGAAGAGATAGGGGTGTCACGAATTTTTTCTGAACACAAATCGTGGTTGAATGTACGTATTCCTATGGCTTCTGCTATGTGTAAGAGACGGGATCGAACTCCGTTGGGAAATGATGGAGGTATACGATAGATCACCCGAAAAGATCTAGATTTATCTACAATGTGACCACTATCTACCAGGTGTGTTAAGATAGAACTGCGTATTGTTTTTGACTGACCCTTCGTAAACTATGCTGGGAGATGTTCACTCATTCGTTGGGTAAGTTGCCTGGAAATACGTCCGATATAGCTTTCTCCGCAGGAGCAGCTGAATTTGTAAATAAATGCACATAGAGGAGGCCAACTCAGGTAACATATCGTTCGTTTGGGTAGACATCGCTGGTCAACTGGAGAATGTCTTGATCGGTTAAACATTTTCATATAAATATTCATGTATCTATTAGAGTAAAGCCTGATGACGATTTAATTGAAAACAATATTGTTCGCTTATATGTGTTGTTCTAATTTAAATAACTGTAAAACTGTAACTCAAACAAATGTGACCGTTGATCGCTTAGTCTAACAAAAAGATTAAATTATGATGACGAATTTGGTTTCAATTGAAATCTTGAACATAACTAGTGTCGAATGTTATGATTTTAGATAAAATCTATTATGAAAAGAAACATCATTGATAGGCATAATATTGATAAAACAATTATTTTACATTCATGTGCATTTACTAAATTATGAAATAATGTCAATAATTCTTCAAGTATAGACAAATGTATCAAGCTTTGACAAGGCAAACACAATTTCGGTTATCTAAACCAACACACAGATATAGTGGGAAGATAATTATCAAGCCACTGAATGAAAGTAATTATTCACCAGAGAATCAGCTTATTATTGGCATGAATTAATTTGAAGTTTGTATCACAACACTCAAAATATTTAGTAAATGGATTATGCATTATTTTTGAATACATTCAGTCAGATAATTTAATTTGCTGACAGGAATTAACATGAACACAACGGATATGGTTTATGTGAAAACATTAATTAAGAAAACGTGGGATTCAACAAGTATAAGATTGATGTTGAAAAAAAATGGGCGGATGAATTTCTATGATCGGTCACATCTAATTGTGTAAAAGTGAATATCATTAAGGAAAATATATATCCAAATAAGGAAAAGAAACTCAACTATTACTCCTTGAATCATGTCACATGCCATTTCAAACAATTTCCTTGCGTGGCATTTAGCACCCCGGCTCCATTCCACTTCACCGAGGAAACCCTGACCAGTGTATAGATGTCTACCCAATACCTCTATTTCACGTTACTGTGGACCTCTACTTTTCAAAGTCGGTATGCATAACAAAGTGTTGGTATATAATGTAAGCAATCCTGTAGAAATAATATTCACCGACAACAGAAGGCAGTCAAATAGTGGAGCTTAGTAATCATGCAAAGGTGGATAAATCGGTTTGTGTTGTCTTCCAGAATATCAAGTTGAACAAATCAAAACTCTTAGTAGAGTAGTGTAAATGAACTGTCATCCAAATGCTGAATTATAAGCTTTATGCAAAACGTGAGAAGAATAGGTGCCGATAACCAACGGGATATGGGCAAGGATACGAAAATCTTATACGGTAAATATTTAAACTTTAATTATTAAAAAAAGAACACATTTCATAAATGTTCTTTTTTTTGTTACTTAAACAGATGTAACAACTCCTTTTGTCCATCCATCAGATTTAGGACACATGAATTTCAATAAATCTTCATTCTTCGACAAGAGAAATATACCCGTTTGAGTATGGCAACAGCTTTTAAGTCATTTATAATTATGTATAAGTACATCTACTGTTAGTATTCATAATTAATCTGTTAAAACAAGTCTATAAGAGAAAGATTAATTTCAATATTTTCACACTAAAAAATAGATGGTTGGAATGTTCAAAAAGGGCTACCACAAGCTTCCAAAGAATTCAGAAATATTAACTATAAATCCACAAAGTTTTAAGAGGCATAAAATTCAGATTCTGAACATTTTCAATTTGATTTTAAGACAGACTACAAGCAGCCATCGAGAAAGCACACTATATTACTAAACTGGTTAAAATCAAAAGGTCTAGACATTGATCGAACGATTATATAAGATCCCATTGCATTTATCAGTTTACATGTTTGTGCGGAGACATATAGAGAGAGGAATAATCGGACAATCCAATCAAGGATTATGAGAAATGTGTCCAAACGGCTTCATAATCAGTTACTGTCAAATGACTCAATGAACGTGGAAAATAGAAAACCATGTTCATCAATAGGAAAACACATAAACGAAATGAGAATGATAAAAATATGGAAGGAATTTATATTAATCACAGATTCTTGTCAATAGCATTGTTAAAATCAATCAATAGAATTTGATACTGGTATCAAATACTCATTATTCTGTAAGATTAAATGAATTAAAGTCATCACTTACCTAAACTAAGAAAACATTCATCACAATCACGACGGATTTTTAAAGCTAATGGTAAATAACCACCGGCAAGCCATGTAGTCATTTGTTGATTAGTAAATGGACCTTGGATACATTTAAATAAATCAATGTAATACCAATTACAAGGTTGTATCATAGATTGTTTTGCATTTGCTTGTGCAGAACTCTTTAAACAATTATTGTTGTTAACATGATGACTAGTTATTGAATGACTACCATCAATGAAAACATTTTCTTTTTGACAAGTTGTTGTAAATAATGCCTCACTAGCATGTTTCTCATGAATTGGGAGATCGAATCCAGGTGGTGGATCGCTAGAAAACGATTTGGAGTAAATTCTCCCATTCTTGATTTGTTGCTTAATAATAAAAATTTTATGATAAGAAACGAAAACGAAAGTTAGGCGGATAGTTCTATTCACATTTATTTCTTACGACTAAATGCAAAATTTAACGGAATTCCTCTTGGAATAAATTCAAAAGAAGTGAAACTATTGGCCAGTGAAAAGCGCCGTAGTTTCAAAATGTGAAAGTTGGTCACGAAGCTGCTACCACAGTTAACCTGTAAGGGGGTAGTGCCTGAGAAGATAGTCAACACCATACAGAATTATTATGATGGATTAAACTACAAAATCGTGCACGGAGAACAACTTCAACAAGGCGTTTCTGAACAGAATGAAAGATTTAATAGACACTGAGCTTCGAGATCAACAGGCTGGATTCCGTAAGGATCAATCGTGTACTGACCGAATAGCAACATTACGGATCAGTGTGGATTAATCAACTGAATGGAATTCATCATTGTACATCAACTTCCTAGATTACAAGAAAGCATTTGACAGAGTGGATAGGATGATACTATGGAGGTATTCCGATTCAACAGCATACTTTAATGTTTCCTTCAAAGATGGTAATCAGTCAGCAGATAACAAAGCAAACCTACCTAATCAGTTGACGATTGTACCTATTTGTTGAAGAATAAGTATTGTAAAAGTTTGGAAGTAAACAAGTGAATATTATTGCTTGTAAAAATGATAAAATTGGTGCTCACAAAATTAGAAACAAATTTCGAGAGTAAGCTCATTGAAGCAGATGGTCAAGGAAAGTTAAAAGATTGTACAATTTTTAACTGTACACATATTGGTAACCTTGATAAATTATATTAGTATTTGTTCACAGAATAAACGGAACATTAATAACCTTCAGATGTGTTTGACGAAAAGATTTATGATATTATTATACAAGACAGACATGTTTAACAATTGTTAACATAGAATGAATGTAGAAATTATTCATCTATGATTGGTAGATAAAAAAGACATAAATTCAGACAAAAGAAACAAGGTCAACAAAAGTTCAATATAACCAGAATAAACAGAGTATAGGAGACTTATGGATGAAGTGACTTTTTCATAATTATATATCGCAAATATGATACGATAAGAAGAGTGATAACATATACTCGAATACTGTAAATCATTTAATTTGCAAATGAGTAAATAATTAGACAGATTTATTAACTAATTAAATTCTTATAACATAAATTTATAAATATTGGTATCATAAGGACATTTACAAAAATGTGTCGCACAAATTGAAACTCTTCTGTTAAACTAAGAGGTTAAACAATATCAGATTTACTACGCTATAGTTAACAAATCAGGGATAAGCATCCATACTATCTTTCGTCAGAGTTTCAATATTTAGGCATAGTTTGCTAATGTTCGATAGTAATTGTATTTGTTTGTTGTGGGGTTGTATTTAACTCGATTTGTAGGCATGGTTTATTATGACAGTCTACAACAGATAGACATACTAACGAAGTGAACAAACAAGAGAAGTCAACAAATTAAAAGAAAACAGGAATAGCAAGTCCAGATGACAGCTCACCGTAAGTTCAGACTCAATCAGTAGTAGTCGATTAGAGCCTTCAATTACGTCTTTCAATAACAGATGCTACCAATAAAACGGAGTCGAATCCAGCCTTAAATTAACAATTACAAATAAGTATCACTATGCATCAAACCCCGATGAAAGACAGCATGGATGCTTGATAAAATTTACATCACTGTAACGACTATTATCGTATAGTTATTTTTTTATGCTGAAAAAGAAGTTGAGGCTACCTCTACTACTACGGGATTTGAATTGACAATTACATTTCTGTGCTAATGTGGTATGGCAACATGAACTAATGTACGTAGTTTTACGTTGCTATTAATTGATTGGGGCTATTCTTTGAGAAAAACGTAATGGTGAACCAATGAAAAGATCCTTCCACAAAAAACCAATTTGCTGCCTAGCAATTATCCCTGAATTATGTTGAAAACTAGTATTCAAAACGTATCAATAAGAAACTAGTGAAGGCTTGAGAGATTCACTGATCTTTCTTATAGTTTTGATTTAGGTTGATAATCAACGACACTGTAGTTTTGAAATGAGACTGGAAATCATACCACACTACCTACTTGCTAAGAAGAGACGATTATATGAGGGTTGTATCAGAGTTCCGTTATCTAATCTAAGGTGTTAACGGTTTCTACTAAATATTTTTCAGTTTAATTTGACCTACCCACGTAGAGATTAAAATAATCTGATAAAAATTGATACATTTAAGAGTGCAGCTTTCAAGATGTTAGAAAGCTTTCGATATATATCAGATTTAACTTAATCTGAGCTACGATTAATGGGGCATATATTATCTTTCCAAGTTCTTGTTGTATCATTTAGTCAGAAAATGAGTAAGCGATTGTTAGTAGGAACCCACTTATGTGAAATTTTAGTCTCTTGGCTAGTGAAGCTTGTTGTCGAATCTAACAAGTTCCAGGCGCCCACATCGAGCAAAACGCCTCGAGGGACCTGTGTATTAGTAACAGTACGTTAAAAAACAATGTGTTGCAAATTCGCAGCCCAGATCCACTTACAGACTAAGTATGTGTAATCAAGAGCTTGAAACAGTCGGACATTTCGGTACGTTGGTCATCGGAATAAATTTTGTAGAAAGTATAGATATTTCCTAACCCTGGAAATTTACTACACAACTAAAATATTGGGTTTCAAAACAGAATATACTGGTATTAACAAAACTGTTCAACGTTGTTTAATTACAATTCTTGTTTGAGTAAACATAATCTGAGAAGTAAGCCTTTACTGGAACAATAAAATTTATTTCATAAAAAAGATTTTTTCAACGGTAAACTATGTAATTTCTTGATTTGGATAGAAGTCGAGAAACTAGCGACTAATTATAGTGCGCACATACACTGCTGAACATACCCAAGAGCTCTTTGATCAACCCATTGATGTTAATCATATATCCAAAGTACTAATAAAAGTGTTGGAACTTTGTCCAAGATTTACAGGACCTCTTCAACATCAAAAACTCAGTTAGTAAGGTATTTGGGTTTAAGTGAATGAGAAAGCTTTCAGTTGCACGATTAATGAATTGACCCAAAATCATACAAACAGTACACAATTATTATCTATCAAAATGACAACTTACAAGTGATTGGCCACCAGGAGTATCAACTAAACAACTGACAGGTCGATATGAATTACTGCTAGAAGTTGGTGACTGACCACCACCAACAGGTTCTCGATGTGTTAAGCCTTGACGACCTGATCCACGCCCTCGAACACGTCCACGTCCCGTATTTCCATCAACCTCATTGGATGGATGCCAATGACCACGGCCTCGGTGATTGGAGTGGTTAGACTAAATAAATTTGTTAGTACAGGAAGAACCGGTTAACTAGGAAGGTTTAGCGTGAAACTGTGTCAAAGTCATGAATAATAATTTCATTTATATATCAAAAATAATGGTAAACAAATTTTAATGTGAACGAAATAGATAAAATTTCAGATATGTGTTTCTCAAAGGACAACCGAAGAAAAACACTCAGAACTGTTATGGTACGAGACGAAAAACGGGACAATGGATGCATATGACTTTTTATCCATCGTTCTCAAACATATAATATACATCCTACTTCGATTATATGGTCACATTAGTGTCCCAGAACGTGTTAGAAAGTCAGTTTAACTCAATGTATATGGCTTAATTTGTTTAGATATTTTATCCGGGCACTTTCTGTAATAGTGTTCAGCTACATAATTTTTCAAACTCACGAGAAAGAAAAACAACCTAACCTACTGCTGACAATAAGTCGTAGGCGATTCAACAAATCAGTAAACGAGTAACTCGCACTCCCAATCCCACAAAGATGACATACATCGATCGATAGTTAAATATAAAGAGATTACTCTCAAGCACTGGAAAAAGAGGAAGGCTGAGAGTAGAGCAATCTACCACAACTTGTAAGGAAGAACCCCGCCTCAAAATCAACTACCAGAAAAAAAAACAATTAAACAGTACTCTGGGAGTTAAACGATTGATTTCTCTATATTGAAGAGTTAAAACGTTTCGCGATAAAAGTCCAGTCTTCGAACTTCAGGAAGCTGGGGCTTCCTCTGGTAGTCACAGCGACAATCGACATAAAGTGGAATGTCCGAACAGTGTGATAGACTTGGCGAGTCATTCAAACAGAATTAGAAATACATATAATACAAGCTGGCTATACATGGCATAAGTGAAACTCATAGGAAGCAATCTAGACAAAATAGACAGACCTCAGAGGAGAGATGATGCTTTATTCTGGTCCTGAAGATGATAATTTTAGCTTATACACAAGGAGTTCTACTGACGCTCTCTAAAGAAACGCAAAACGTGGTTATAGGATGGGAAGCCCATAGACCCAGGATTACCAAAGTATTCTTCAAAACAATGAAGTAAATGATTCAAATGAATTGTATTTAGTGCTATGCAATGGCCCATGCTCCGTTGAGGGGTATTAGGCGAAAGTAAGTAATTAAGTAATTAATTAAGTAAGTAAGTGTGTAAGTGTGTAAGTAAGTAAGTAGGTAAGCGGTCTACACGTTCGACTACTTCACTTCCTATCACTAGTTCAGGTGCCGATGCAACCCAATCTTGAAGCAACATTTTGCATTTCGACGGGGAGAAACGCATCCCGAACATGCTTGCATTGTTGCTTAGGGTGGTCAGAAGACTCTGCATTTTGTCAGCGTCTTCATCAAGTAGGACTATGTCATCGGCATATTCTAAGTCAATAAGCGAGCCACCTGGTAGAAGGTCTACTCCTGAAAATTCAGACGAGGATAAGGTTATTTCTAGGAGCATGTCCATGATAAAATTAAACAAGAATGGAGAGAGTGGACATCCCTGACGGACACAACTTGAAGTAAAGAATTCCGGTGACAGTTCGCCATAAGCTCTCACTCGACCAGTGGTGTTCGAGTAGAGAGCTTGTATGAGGTTAATGTACTTCTTTGGTACACCTTTCAATGACAGACACTGCCACAGAACCTCACGATCCACTGAGTCAAATGCCGCCTTAAGGTCCAGGAACACAACTATTGTAGGAGGCCCAAATGTGCGCCTACGTTCCAGGACCTGTCGCAGAATGAAAATGTGGTCTATACAGCCACGTCCGGGTCCGAAACCAGACTGGTTTTTTCTAGTCTGCTCTTCACGAGCTTTCGTTGAGCGTCGAAGTATTATTGAGGCCAATATTTTAGATACTATATTAGTTAGACTTATTCCCCTATGATTGTCACAAGAAGACTTTTGTCCTTTCTTATAGATTGGGACAATCAGTGATTGAGACCAGTCGGATAGGATTGTGTCCAGTTCCCAGATTCTGTCTAAGATCTCAGTCAACCTAGCTGCTAAAACTGGACCACCATCCTTAAATATCTCAGGGGTCAGTCTATCAGGACCTGCAGCTCGCCCTCGCTTCAGATTTCCTAACGCTTTCTCAAGTTCATAAAGACTAGGGGTACTTACGTTGATTCGCCATTCAGGATGACTGGACATCGTGGGTAACCGAAGAGTGGCTCGAGGCCAGTTGAACTGATCCCTAAAGTGTTCTCTCCATCGGTCCAGTCTCCTGGATTGAGAATGGATAATAAGACCATCCTTTTCCGAAATAGTCTCAAACAGATACGCGCTCGTACTAGAGCATGATCTGAATCTAAATATGTGTCCCAGAACGAGCGGCAGTCCTCTATCGAAACCCTCCATCGGCTGATGTCAATATGATCTAGTTGCGTCCAACGTTGAGACGACATCGGGGATCGACATGTCAAGAGATGCCATAGGACACAATGGTTTACCTACGCCAGCGAGACCCCGGGAAGCGGCATCAGGGCTACCAGATACACGAAGAGTAAATCGGGCAGCTTCTTTATTTTGACATGGTGAAACCAAATTAATGATTTAACTAGGATCCTGTGTGCGCGTCTCCGAGACGCAGCATACATTGATGGCGCGAGATTCTAAAGTTCTAGCTAAGGAAGCCTGTTGCCCTATTTGACACAATGTCCGTACATTAAAAGCTCGAACATGCAGTCTAGAACGGGTTTCAAAAGACCAGGAATAACTTTTCGCGAACCCGCATCGTTTGCATTAGCGGTGAAGCGTGATAAAGGAATGTGAGTAGAGTTAATCGTGAAGATTAGAGAGATGTTAAGGGGTGTAGAAAGGATTTATTTGTGACCGATTCGGTCTCTGCTGCTGTTACGGGTATGAGGGCGGTTGCCACTTCACGGCTGCTCACACCGTGGAAGGTTGTTTCTTGAGGAACCTGAAAAGAAAGGTAGATTAGTGTTGGTCTTAACGACCTTGGAGCGTGACCGCAGAGCCCAAGGGACAACTGCTTGAGGCCGGTCACGCACGGCCTTTTTATGAAGGGATTTTTGAGTATTAGCTCTACTCTTTTTTAAAGCCCTTATTGGGCACCCTTACCCAAGGAGACGGAAATCCATGGTGTGAAATTTTGAGGGTCGACCTTTTCTAGCCCTTCCTTCCTTGTGAGAAGGCAGCATCGCTGCACATGCTTATTGTCCGAGGGAAACACCTTACTGCTGTCACACCCCTCTGCAGTCAGCAGTACGACTTCGCCCTCAGACCTTGAGTAGCTGCTTTTAATCTCATCGTTCTCCAATCGACCTGCCTGGCATGGTAGAACCTTCAGGAGCATATGTTTCAGACAATACAGCTCGGTTGGGTCATCACGATAGGCAAGCCCGACCACCACGTCAAGGTAGCAGCTACGGTCGGGTGATGAGACTCCCGAGATAAGAGAAGCGGTTCATTTTATTAGTAATTTTTTTCATTTTATTCGTACATAAAACTGTCATGTTTGTAAAGGCAGAAGATCCTAAGCAGTGAACGGAGATGAACCAACAGATGACAGCTTTATTATTATTTAAACATAATTGTTAGTACAAACGGACAATAACATATTTATCAGCTACACAAATTAATGAACTTGTGTGTGGGCTGGGAAACTGTCCGGATGCCCGAATTGGAGCACGTGGTATTCTCAAGGAGCGACTCCTCAAACCTTTGACCTGTTGGTCTAATCCACAGGGGAGTGGGGCAACTTTAAGAGATGTAGTCTCACGGTAGCCGGTTACTAACAATAGGTTTATACACCTCAGTGAAACCTCCACTGGACATTGGCTTTTCGTCCCCTCAATTTCGTAGACAACAACTGTGCTGTGCAGCGAGTAGGACTTTCTTGAAAGTGGCTATACACGCGTGGTCATGTGGAAGCATTTCAAGAGGGAGAACAGGCTCCCCAATTTCGGTTGTATTAGGACATTTGGGAGCTACCAACAATCTCATCCTTGTAACACCGTTTCATAGTGCTGTGTTTGAACAAAAGTGAATTTTAAACTACGAGGGTTGTGGACCGAACGAATATTTCTAAGGTTAAATTAATAGTAGAACAATCTCACAAATCAATTTAACTAGATGGTCGTACCAAAATACTTCATATAATTAGCATAGAAAACGAGAACTTACATAAAAAACATCTGATTGCTCACTACCACTGTAAGAGCGTTGACGCCAACCAGCACATCCTCGGGACCAATCCCCATGCCCTCCTCTTTTTGTTTCATTAGTAGGACGCAGGGGACCACTTGTTTGGGAAACGGGAGTTAGGGGATCGATATCCCCGGTTGGTCCACTTGGGTATCTTTGATGAGGATGTGAAGAATTGCCCGATTGTGCGTGCCAGGCGGAGTGGTTCGTACGATGCCAGCTATGGGTCTTAACATCAACTTCTTGAGTAGCTAGATCCTCGCCACTACTCCCATGAGTTCTACAACACAAAAAGAGTATAACAGTTAACCAAGTAATACGAATGGGTAAAAGTAATAAAATAATGGTAAATTCGTCGCCATTTTTAGAAGCATAAGTATAAAGTTGATGAATATTTTAATATTGAAGTAGATTTTAGGTTACTTGAGTAAATGACTTCACTAGACAAATGGATTTTGGGTTTGGATTATGTGAACATTGGGACTATAATTACTTTCAGGACAGACTAGAGTTGAATTATTCTAGAGACTAACTAGATTTTGATAATCATTGGACATGTCGATAAACAGCAGACAACGGTCCTCATCTAAATCACTTGGTAGCTGTATTCTAATATCCTAAATTTTCGAATCTAAGTTGTATATAAGAAAAATGGTTTTGAACTACCTTTTTCCAGTTGACTACAACATAGAACTTAGTATGTGCAAACATCGGTTCAAGTTGCCACATCACTTTAGCACAGAAAAGTGGAATTCTCAGCTGAAGGTGGTAGCAGTTTCAGCGGTAATGGAAAAAAAATGAGGATCAACGATATAGTACGAGAAGCATTACCCAATGAAATAAATTTGAAAACATTTGAAAAGGTCTTGAGTAGTTCACAAGATTAGAAGTTGAGAGAAAACAAGGAATGGATGCACCTGCGCCATTACAAACCATCTTGAGCCATATCATTCAAGACCTCTAACCGTCGGTTACTATCGTCTCGCGGACCCCAGCTAAGTAATGTACACCTACCAAAATGACTCAGTTCAGTTGTCAGTAACTTCATGGATTACTGCCATGTTTTTGTCTAACCATCACTAGCCTTCTTTCAGTCTACCCTTACACCAGACAATATAACTCGTGCCGGTAGTCAGTGGTTAGGTATTGTAACGTGTTCCAACCACCTCAACGGATGAAGATTCACAGCCTAAGGATTTGTGGTTCATAGTACATAGACTTTGCCTGCACAATCGATGACACATATCTGCTTCTCATGGACGCTCACTTGAAATGGTCAGAGATTGCCCTCGAGGTGTTATCAGCGACTAACAAGATTTTCCAAGTATTAACAGAAATTTTACAATGGTGGAAGAGCGTATTTTTCATGACCTAAGCAAGCACATCAGTGTTACAAAACCTGATGAGGGGTAAATATTTGATCGATATATTTAAGACAAGGTCTGTCATCTAAGTTTTATTATTAACTGGTGCATATCCATGTACTTGGCTTCGGGTTACATTGATTAAAACGAATATTGATGATATACAGTTCTCCAAACTGAAGTAGGGAAACCAAAGTTTAAACCTGTGACTTTGTGATAAAAAGTCGATCGCTTTGAGCATTCAGATACTGCTCAACCAAACATGCTTGAAATTACATTCACCAAATTGTTTCTGTTACAGAGAACTTGATGGCTAAACCTGGATTTTCACTCAACAGTTCCATTGTATATGAATAATGCCGTCGACGTTCTTCGTTAGAATACTTGTGACTGTTTCTAAAGTTTAACTTTAAATTCTGTTTAACAGATTTAGATTGAGTGAGAACAAATTGTCTTTTGACTGAGGTTTAGTTATCTCATCTGTGTTACAAATAATCTCGTTTAATGAATTTTAGACATGCATCCTATATTCACAACAAATGGTTCCTTCTTTGAGGAGTGATACAGAAACTTTAAATATGTACAGCAGTAAGCACATTTTTAACATATGCATAGAAACATCGATCAGAGGTGAAATCAGGAGTAGGACAAGACAACTGCTCATTTTTACGCTTCATTTAGGCCACAAATACTAATTAACTGAAAAATAAATAGCATCCACTTTGATGTGGTATTCATATTTGTTTATTGTGATGGCATAATCGAGGTAAAATGTTTGTAAAACTTTTACCTTCAGCTTCTACGAATCTAAACATATTAGATGGAGAACGGTATGAATGGAAGTAGAAATGTTTTAATACAAAGTTCTACTGCCGATTATACCAGGGTGTAGCAGTTGCAAAGTGGCTCTCACATATAATCAGTATCTTTAACGCTGATTGCTAACATAATGAGGATTCTATGTGACAAGTAATAAGGACTTAAATGAGTAGGAATGGAGACACCTCATGAACAGTTCATTATGCATCTCGTACGTGTCAGTTCTATAGCTTGACCAAGAACACTAGTTGCATACAAATGTCTAGTCGATACAAATATTTGACTAATGAGAGTCCTTTGATCAACTGCACATCACTCCCTTAACAGCGAGATAAGTTGTCTCTAAAATCAAATACATTTTCTCGATTTATAAATATCCACTCCAAAAAGTAAGGTTTAAAAAGTAAAGAAATTTTCAAGACTCAAAACAATCATTTACATGAGAACACCAAACAGTCAATTTCAAAAACTTGCCAATGTCGATAAAACCACCAATAATAATGGTATTTCTTCTCTGGGTTCTCAAAGTGGATAACCATATAATTTTGACGACACTAAGGGTAAATTTAGCAGTTGTAAACGAGCTGAAGAAACCATTTCATTACTTTTGATGTTAGTACGAGAGGTGGTCTTATGACTACGGTGTTCAACGTTCGGTTACTCGGTTTCAGGTTTAAACCCCGCTTCATTCGCGAGTGACCCTAAGTGTGGCCCACAGCCTATACCTGGTGGATGGGTTCATTTAGTTTACTTTATGTTAGTACAAATCTCGTTGACAAAACTGCAATAATAATAGAAGCTTTTGTAATATAATTTTCTACAAAGCTGTTAGGTTGTATGGGAATGACTGAGCATTTTTAGTGCGTAACAATAGCAACTTGAAGTCACTGACTGCTTACTTAGTGTTTGTGCACTGTAATTTAGTCGTTGAGAGAAGTAATATTCACAACTTATAGGAATCGATCCCACGTTATCTTAGTAATAGTAACAATTATGCAAGCTCACATACATAACCGAAATATTCATTCGTACAATTGTTAAAAAACAAAACTACGTTCCTATTACAGGAATCTAAACACTAAATAGCACTAATGTTAGTACGACAAAGTGATGACATTAAAAACGACTTCTAAAACATATATGGATAGAGAGATAAAAAGCATTTACATACTTTTGGGGATCTCCATCACTTGACTGTGAATAACTGGTCTTTTTTCTTTGAGGTTTTGGTCGAGAAGCTAAATTTAAAACCAAATAATCATTTGTGTAAACATACCACGGTTTCCAGCCTAGAAAAAGATTATACAAAGTATTAGGTAGTTAGTTCATAAATTATTAGTATTCATAAAGCACAAAACATGAGGAATAGATAGTCAGTGGAAATATGCACTTCTCATTTATAAAACATAACAAAAAAAGCTTAACGAAGCAAAAAACGGTGTCACATAAAATAAGTGTTATGAAAGGTTGTACAATCAAGTAATCACTGCACAAAAATCAGTCAGTCAGATGCAACGTAGGACTTCGTACGTAAGTACATCAGTTCATGTTGCCATACCACATCAGCACAAAGATATAATTGTCAATACAAATCCAATAGTAGAAGAGGTAGTAAAGGTATTAGGAGTAATCGGAGAGGTTAGGATTAGAAGATATAATTCAAGAAGTATGATTTAATGACAAAAGTTTAGAGAGTCGAAACTAGAGGGGTTGAAGAACACAGAAGATTAGGACTTGAGAGAACACAAAGCATAAATGCACCGGCGCCATTGCGAACGATTTTGAGCCATGTCATTCAAGGTCTCTAACCATCGATTATTATCATCTCGCAGACCCCAACCAGGTAGTCGACAATTACTGACATGGCTAAGTCCACTCGTCAATGACTTCATGGATTTCTGCCATGTTTTGGTTTGGCCGTCCCTAACTTTCTTCCAACCTATTCCTACACTACAAAACAAAGCTCGTCGAGACAGTCGATGATTAGGCATACGTAACACATGTCTTAACCACCTCAACTGATGAAGTTTCATTACTTCATCTATTGTTATGCCATTCTTACCTAGCACCCGTTTCCTAATAACAGTGTTGCTCAACCGGGTGTACCAGGATATACGACAAATGCTTCAAAGACACCTATGATCAAAAACCAGTAACCTACTACCGCTGCTGCACGGTACAGTCGTCCTTTGGTTAGCAAGCGGATATCTCATTTGCGGCATAGGTGACGCAGGTTGGCAAAAGTCAATCGAGCCTTCTGTATCTGAGCTGAGATTTCGTCAGTCACCAGGCAATCAGCACTGATGGGACTCCCCAGATACGTGAAGCAGTCTACACACTCGACTACTTCACTTCCTATCACTAGTTCAGGTGCCGATGCAACCCAATCTTGAAGCAACATTTTGCATTTCGACGGGGAGAAACGCATCCCGAACATGCTTGCATTGTTGCTTAGGGTGGTCAGAAGACTCTGCATTTTGTCAGCGTCTTCATCAAGTAGGACTATGTCACCGGCATATTCTAAGTCAATAAGCGAGCCACCTGGTAAAAGGTCTACTCCTGAAAATTCAGACGAGGATAAGGTTATTTCTAGGAGCATGTCCATGATAAAATTAAACAAGAATGGAGAGAGTGGACATCCCTGACGGACACAACTTGAAGTAAAGAATTCCGGTGACAGTTCGCCATAAGCTCTCACTCGACCAGTGGTGTTCGAGTAGAGAGCTTGTATGAGGTTAATGTACTTCTTTGGTACACCTTTCAATGACAGACACTGCCACAGAACCTCACGATCCACTGAGTCAAATGCCGCCTTAAGGTCCAGGAACACAACTATTGTAGGAGGCCCAAATGTGCGCCTACGTTCCAGGACCTGTCGCAGAATGAAAATGTGGTCTATACAGCCACGTCCGGGTCCGAAACCAGACTGGTTTTTTCTAGTCTGCTCTTCACGAGCTTTCGTTGAGCGTCGAAGTATTATTGAGGCCAATATTTTAGATACTATATTAGTTAGACTTATTCCCCTGTGATTGTCACAAGAAGACTTTTGTCCTTTCTTATAGATTGGGACAATCAGTGATTGAGACCAGTCGGATAGGATTGTGTCCAGTTCCCAGATTCTGTCTAAGATCTCAGTCAACCTAGCTGCTAAAACTGGACCACCATCCTTAAATATCTCAGGGGTCAGTCTATCAGGACCTGCAGCTCGCCCTCGCTTCAGATTTCCTAACGCTTTCTCAAGTTCATAAAGACTAGGGGTACTTACGTTGATTCGCCATTCAGGATGACTGGACATCGTGGGTAACCGAAGAGTGGCTCGAGGCCAGTTGAACTGATCCCTAAAGTGTTCTCTCCATCGGTCCAGTCTCCTGGATTGAGAATGGATAATAAGACCATCCTTTTCCGAAATAGTCTCAAACAGATACGCGCTCGTACTAGAGCATGATCTGAATCTAAATATGTGTCCCAGAACGAGCGGCAGTCCTCTATCGAAACCCTCCATCGGCTGATGTCAATATGATCTAGTTGCGTCCAACGTTGAGACGACATCGGGGATCGACATGTCAAGAGATGCCATAGGACACAATGGTTTACCTACGCCAGCGAGACCCCGGGAAGCGGCATCAGGGCTACCAGATACACGAAGAGTAAATCGGGCAGCTTCTTTATTTTGACATGGTGAAACCAAATTAATGATTTAACTAGGATCCTGTGTGCGCGTCTCCGAGACGCAGCATACATTGATGGCGCGAGATTCTAAAGTTCTAGCTAAGGAAGCCTGTTGCCCTATTTGACACAATGTCCGTACATTAAAAGCTCGAACATGCAGTCTAGAACGGGTTTCAAAAGACCAGGAATAACTTTTCGCGAACCCGCATCGTTTGCATTAGCGGTGAAGCGTGATAAAGGAATGTGAGTAGAGTTAATCGTGAAGATTAGAGAGATGTTAAGGGGTGTAGAAAGGATTTATTTGTGACCGATTCGGTCTCTGCTGCTGTTACGGGTATGAGGGCGGTTGCCACTTCACGGCTGCTCACACCGTGGAAGGTTGTTTCTTGAGGAACCTGAAAAGAAAGGTAGATTAGTGTTGGTCTTAACGACCTTGGAGCGTGACCGCAGAGCCCAAGGGACAACTGCTTGAGGCCGGTCACGCACGGCCTTTTTATGAAGGGATTTTTGAGTATTAGCTCTACTCTTTTTTAAAGCCCTTATTGGGCACCCTTACCCAAGGAGACGGAAATCCATGGTGTGAAATTTTGAGGGTCGACCTTTTCTAGCCCTTCCTTCCTTGTGAGAAGGCAGCATCGCTGCACATGCTTATTGTCCGAGGGAAACACCTTACTGCTGTCACACCCCTCTGCAGTCAGCAGTACGACTTCGCCCTCAGACCTTGAGTAGCTGCTTTTAATCTCATCGTTCTCCAATCGACCTGCCTGGCATGGTAGAACCTTCAGGAGCATATGTTTCAGCCAATACAGCTCGGTTGGGTCATCACGATAGGCAAGCCCGACCACCACGTCAAGGTAGCAGCCACGGTCGGGAAAGGAACTATACTAAGAAACACACTGGGCCGAGAATTGGAAAGGCCGAGGAAAAGTTTAGTTAGGAAGTCCGTGCGGGCGACGTTTGTTGCCTTCGATGTAACATGTGTAAGTACTTATCAAATCTATGTAGCTGGCTGAGCCATACCGAGGGCTGTGATAATTCTCAGGTGCTCTTCCGGGAGTCTTCGGTCGTGTCAGTGTTTGGTTCGCCAGGAAACCACTTTATACGTAGTGTACAAACTATAAACCTTGTTAACTAACGCAATATGGATAGACGTGTAGCGAATATATGCCGATCAGGATGCCAGTAGCGTAATTTAGCTGATTTTAGATGCCCGGTCAAAGTTTTCTAACCACGATGTGCAACACCGAAATAAACGAGTTGTTTCCGAGATTAGGTACGGATTGTTTTAAACTTCTACCAATAAAAATATCATCGACCAAAATAGGACAAGCAAACATGGTAATCATTATTAAACAGGCTCTTCCACATTACTAGGCTTACGGAAGATAGACCTAATGTGGAACGTAAAACCCTTGGGATTACTATGAGTTCGTTGAGACAAGCCATAGAAACATGAATGAAACAATTTTCTGAGCTACAAATAAAATCCTCGTCGTTAATTTTAGTGTCGAAAACAAGGGAAAAATCTCAAATAGAATTAATTTAGAGTTTAAATGGTAGGAAAGTAGTAGTATCTACGTCTCTGGTTAGACGGCTGATAAGTCCGCCTAAACTGGCTAAAAATAATTTCGGGTTGCAAATGCATGATATAGACACCATGTACTAGAATCAAATCAAACGTATGAGAACAATCTACCTAATTAAGGAATTGATAATGACTCCTTTATGTCGCATAATAGGTTAAGAACATGAGAGCCCGAACTTTTACCAGTATGTAACCAAAAAACGGCACCATAGAACAAACAAAGATGGAATAAGTTAATTGAAAACTGATCAGTAACTTACAAGATGTTTTGTGCTTCCGTCTGTTAGATTGTAGAACAAAGAAATGGAAGTTCTACAGTAGCGCCGAGCCAAGATTTCCGCTCTAGCATAGCGCACGCGCTTTTGAGCTTCATAATGCTCGGCGCTTGATTGCATTTTGTGGAGCAAACTAACGTTCTAATCACCTTCAAACAGTGAGCCTAAAATTAATGTCCAATAATATCCAGCCAAGCTAGAGCAAATGTCTTTCTTTACACGTGCGTCCTATTTTCACGATACAAATTCAGATTTTTAGCAGATCTCAGCGAGGTTCATTTAACCACCTTACTTACTACTGATCTGATGTATTATATCTACAAACTCTCACGTGCTACTTGAAAAGGGACGATGATATTTTTCTTCTTTGAGATAAATCCATCGTTTGGCATTGTTATGAATCGAAACTGCAGTGTTTAATTATAAGTGGACTAATTTCTCCATCAATACACGAATCTATGTACAGAAACTTCAATCAAGCCCAGGGCCGAATGACCTATATTGCCGGAGGGAAGACCGACCCCAAAATCTTCAGTGACCCATCCTGCAAGTGGTGGCATTGAAGAAACTCTTGAGAGATCTGACACTAAGTTTAACAATAACAATGAGATTACCCAAGTAACCGTAAATCACCCAGGATCTCAAATAGTGCGCAACACAGCAGTGATTTCCACCTCCATCAAATCTGATGAATAGGTACAAGTCAGGAAAAAGAAACGACTGAATGTCGTTAAATAAAGGCCAGTTCCCTCAACAGCAGTCCTGAAACCGAAAAATGAGGGGTCAGCCTTTATTTAGTAAGGTAGAAAGCGGAAGCTCTGTGCCCATAGTAAGCTTCCAGCATGATATCACTTTGTAGAGAATGATGAACTTCCAATATCCAATATCTTTTTCACCAGCTGGTGTAAGCCAATTGATTTCTTTACTCTCGATTCTTGTTCTTTGGTACGGTTCCAGGTGTTCGGTAGTGTCTGGTGAATGGAGGTCTAGCCACTCGACTGTCTAATTCTAGTCAGTTGGCAGTTGGTTGTGAGTTTGTATGTTTTGGGACTGGAATGAAACGTTTGTTTCGGGGCGGTAGGGTTTCTGGATACTAGCAGCCGCCACATTACCAAACCGGAGATCAGTTAGTTGCAATAATAAGGACAATATTCTAATGGTAATATGAATAAAATTTCAGAACTAAGTAGGTGAATTTAGTTTAATAATTGGTAGTGAAGAATGTGAGAGAGGACCGGAGTGTAAGCAAGGGAGAGGAAACAGAGATAATAGGCGAGATAGACTAATTGAGTGATCTGAGGAGATGGCAATGGTAACAACTAGCAGGTCTCAAGATTTGCATCAGACACAGCTTGTCAAGGAGGGAGATGATAGTCCGTATGTGAGTACGTGATTATCAAGTCTCTTCTTAAAGCTGTCCATTGAGGGGGCTGTGGTCACCTGGACTGGGAGAGCATTCATAGTTGTGACGACTCGCAATGAGAAAAAGTGTGCACGAATCTGGGTATTCGAGGACTGCCTCTAGGGGAGTGGTGGTGATGCATCGGTAAGATGATCACATTGGGATGGTTTGGGGTGTTGAATATGGTGTACGCCACAGTCAGATCACCTCTGATTCTCCTGTAGCTCAATGGGAATAATCCCAAGAGCTGGAGTCCATCGCCATAAGGTTAATTTTTCAACACTATCACCCATTTGGTTGCTCGTCTCTGCACTCGATCCCAGAGATTTATGTCTCTTTTAAGCAGAGAGGGTGCGATGACGTTGTAAACTTCCAATTGTGGGCGCGCGTACGTCTTAAACAGGGTTAAAAATGATTTCGGGGTGATAGCACCAAGCTGTCTTCGCATAAAGTGAAGAGTCGCATTTGCCTTGGCTGCGTCCCCTATATATTTCGGACTGGTGTGGAGACTTTCCGTGGTTATTAAACCGAGATCGCTCTCCAAGGAGACATTAGGGAGCGGACTTCCATCGAGTGTGTAGATCGTTTGCATCTTGTGAGGCAGAATATGCATGACGTGGCACTTCGGTTGGTTGAGTTTTAAACCGTTTTTCACTGCCCATTTCTCAATAGATGTAAGGTCCTTTTGAAGCTCAGTCGAATCCTCTTCGCTCCTTATGGACCTTCAGATCTTCACATTGTCTGCGTGGATCAGTGCCGGTGAGCTATCTGAGACTAACAGGTCGTTAATAAATATCAGGAAGAGAAGTGGGCCTAGGATGGTCCTCTGTGAAACTCCCGATGTGAATAACCGCCAGCTTGCGTGCACTCTATTTACCTTGGTACGAATCTTACTATTCTCAAGGTAGTTTCTGAGCCGAGATAGGAGTGGGTCGGTGAAGCCTATTTCCCCATCCTTTTCGATTAGGCGTGCGTGGGGTACTGTGTCAAAAGCTTTTACAAACTCGAGAAATATTACTTGCAACGGTATTTCACGGTCCAAACAGGATGTCCAACTGTCCCATGCAATGAGAAGATTAGATGCACACGACCTGCCTTTCCCAAACCCGTATTGAGCTTCGTTGAGCATTTTATTCTTATCCGTTTGCTACCTCATTTGTTCGTCCACCAGCTCTTCCATTAGCTTTTATAGTATTGGTAGTAATGCGACTGATCTGTAACAGGCTGGGTCCTTTCTATCTCCTCCTTTGAAGATCGGAGAGAGAGTAGCTTGTTTCCATTCATCTGGGAATCAGTGTGACTCCAGTGAATGCCTGAACAGGTCACATATCGGTGAACAGAGGACTTCTGCACGTTGTTGCAAGACTATGAGGCGAATTTATTCATAACCTGGTGACTTACCTGGGCGTAAGGATTTTAGTTTCCTTAGTACTAAGCTAGGAGAGATACGGATGTTCTCTAAGCCGTCAGCTGGCATTGGGTTGGCGTAGTACTCTGAACATGTGAGCGCCTGGTTTAACTGATCAGAAAAGTAAGTGTTGAAGATCTCGGTCATCTCTAGGTTGTTGAGGTCTTCACAGTTTGGTCCTTTTAGAGAACGCAACCCTTGATTAGTAGGTTTTCTTTTGGAAATGAACCTAAACAGATGCTTCGGGTTAGTCTGTATTTTGACAGCAAGCTTCATCTGAACTTGTCTCCTATGACTTCAAAATTTAGTAATGCATCTGTTTCTCAATGCCAAGTAAGAACTGCGATCGGAATCCTTCGAGGGGACTTTCTGTTGGGGATGTTAGATCCCCGAAATTCGCTTGATAAATGCCTTATTTTGGTTTGCACGTTTGCCAGCATGGGCTGATTAGTTGACCTTCAGATTTTAATTTTCACCAGGAAAATCCGTGGCTGTGGTTGGCTGCTGTGTATTTTAGTGTGCTATTTTCTTAACTGTACCAGGGACGTTCCTATGATGTATAAATAAACGAGAGTTGTATGCTTGATTGTACTGTGATTGCTGGGTGTTTGTAGAATATACTTTCTACGCTTACCAAGACTTCTGTTTTACCGTTTGGATTCAAGGTAGCCTACCTGGATCCTGTTAAAAGTCTCGTTCGCGTTTATCGACTAATGTAAGCTCGTAATAGCCTCAAGCATACTAAGTGACGAACACAATGCTTTCCACTTGTGCCAGGCTCTCCTCTTTGCCTGTAGCAAGCGTTCAGTGCCTCACGTAACCCAGGTTCTTCTACTCCCGCTTGTGTGGTGTGACTGAGGTACATTGTCTACGACAGAGTTTTGGATGATATCTCTCACTGCTTGCCAGTGATCATCTACTTTCAGCGTCCACCACTCCCGTGGCCATGTGGCATGTAAAAGGATCTCTTTTATACGCATATAGTTTGTCCTAGTGTAGCAAGGATAGTGCTAGTTTTGGTCTGTGTGAGTGTTTTGTTTATCATCATGTTACACAAGTCTGTGCCATGGTCACTACTTCCTAATGGTGCGTGGATGTGAACATCCCCAACCAGGAGCTGGTCTTTTGTTAACAGATAATCCAGGTTTGAGGACTTTTCCTCTTTAGTCCATCTAGCGGCACTGCATACGTGCTCAGTCAGCTGAGAGCTCCTAATGGCTGTACCAAGTTGTATTTGGAACCAACCAGTGGGAGTTATACTCTGATTGCTGTGATTTAGAGATGGAGTATTGAAATCTCCAGCTAAGAGTATTTGATCAAACCCCAGGAGTGGCAGTTGCAGTATTACCTCAATCAGTTTGCTTTTCTGGGCCCCTTCTGCTTGCTGGCACTGCGGCTCATGGCATTTTAGCAACCGTCACCTTGATACACCACTCTACTTACAAAAATGTAGGGTTCAGACACTTATATCAACGCGTGACCTGGGTATTAGTTACTCTAAAAGCCTAAAATTCGAAGAACATGCCTCAAATATTATCTCTAAATCTAGACGACTAATTGGGTTTATAAACAAGATCTTCTTCACAAGTGAGGCTAAGCTTACTCTCTTCAAAATCTGTATAAGGCCCACACTTGATTATTGTTCACCCATATTTTCAAACATGAATATCATGGACAAAATGCGAGTAGAAAATGTACAGAGAAGCTTCACCCGGCGACTGCTCGGATTGAGCCATTACCTCGACTACACAGAAAGATGCACGCATCTTTCCCTAGAACCTCTATGGCGCCGTCGTCTCAAAAACAACCTAATGCTCCTCTTACTTTACTTACTTTCGCCTGTTACCCCCAATGGAGCATAGGCCGTCCACCAGTTTTCTCCAACCAACTCTGTCCTGGGCTTCCCTCTCCAGTTCTGTCCAATGTTTGTTCATTCCTCTCATATCTTTCTCTATTTCTCGGCGTAGTGTGTTCCTTGGCCTTCCTCTTTTCCTTTTGCCTTGAGGGTTCCATGTGAGGGCTTGTCTAGCGACGCAGTTGGGTGCTTTTCGTTGTGTATGTCCTATCCACTTCCACCGCTTCTTCCTGATTTCCTCCTCCATTGGAATCTGACTTGTTCTCTCCCACAGTTCGTTGTTGCTGATGGTGTCTGGCCAACGAATACGAAGTATTTTGCGTAGACAACTGTTAATAAACACTTGTATCTTGTGGATGATGGCTTTCGTAGTTCTCCATGTTTCCGCTCCATACAGTAGAACTGTCTTCACATTTGTATTGAAAATCCTGATTTTGGTTTTGTTTGAAAGTTGT